CTTCTGACAGGGGTATGTCGGATACGTCTAGGTCAACCGATTCCGCCTCTCCTAGCTGTGAAGAGGTCTCAGAAACACCTGTGGCGGAAACAGTTGCTACCCCAGGCTGGGGTGTAGCTTGAAATGTCACTAGTCCCTTGGAGGACGTAAACTGGGAAAATGCATTTTGCATGAAAGACTGAAATTGAGCGGACCATATATCCTCCTGACACCTGCCACTAGGGCAGGGATAGGCAACCTTGGCTCTTTTATGACTCGTGGACTTCAACTCCCAGAATTCCTGAGCTAGCATAAGCTGGCTCAGGAATTCTGGGAGTTGAAGTCCACGAGTCATAAAAGAGCCAAGGTTGCCTACCCCTGCACTAGGGCCAGCCACAGCTGGGGCCTGGTCTGGTGATGATGATGATGATGAAGAACGAGGGGAACCAATCTGCTCAGTTTCCCCCTGAGGAGACTGGAGATCTTAGAATGTTTTGATGAGAAGTAAATGTCGGCTCAGGTACAATGGGGCGGGGGAAATGATCTCAGCCTCATTGGACCTGAGCCTTTGGGCTCTAGAGCAGTGGTTCTCAACCTTTTTAATGCCGCGACCCCCCAACCGGTCGTAAGTCGAGGACTACTCAACTGGTCCTAAGTCGAGGACTACTCAACTGGTGCAGCACCATTTGCAGAATGGGACTTTTGGCGGGCTCAGCAGGGCAGAGACAGCCTGGACAATCCCTATTGGCTTTGGAAAGCCAATAGAATTAGACTCTATTCAAGAGAGTCTATTCTATTGGCTTTCGAAAGCCAATAGAATAAAAGGGAGTAGCACAGCTAAGGAAAAGGGGGGAAAAAGGCGGACTGCGTTGTTTGGCGACCCCCGTGAAATGGTCGTTCGACCCCAAATGGGGTCCCGACCCACAGGTTGAGAACCACTGCCCTAGAGAATTGTTTTTCCAATGCCAAATGTCTCCGTGAGGCCTCTCGCTCAGCTGTTTTGGAGGGCTCCTTCTGGGAAATATGTTTTGTTTTGGCTTCCCCCCCCCACTCAGATTCAGTGGATCTGCGCTTTTGTTGTTGTGGGGGAGGCATCCTAGAGCCCTGTGAGGCTGAAGGCGGGGCGCTGTCTGCCATTGCGCACCGGGTATACCGAGTAGGAAATACCAGGGGGGGGGGGAATCCCAAGTACGCAGATCAATTGACAGAGATGGAAAGAAAGCAATCCTTGCTCTGTGCAACTGCAATGGCCGGACAGTCAAGGCGGTGACAAATGTCACACTCTACTGAGCAGTTGGAAAACAAACTTCCCTTTCGCTCCTTCACCAGGAATGTTTGAAAAAGGATCACCAGTTATTAATAACAGCCTAGGGCGAGTTCAGGATTGATTCTGAGGGCGAATATTGAGCCTGATAACTGGCTTCTCTCTCTCTTCCCCCCCCCAATATGGTCTGACAGGACAGCTCCCTGACGAGGGCCGTATTCCTCTTGTAAGGCAGATAGATGCCCCCTCAGTTAACAGAAAGAACGGAGGAACCGCTGCAAATAGGCCCCCAAAATGGCGTCTGTGTGTAAGCCACACCTAAAATGGCGCCCGCTGCTGTGACGCACTCAAAATGGCAGCCGCCAGTGAGAACACGCGTTCAAGATGGTGAGTGCGTCCCCTTCCGAGCCCGGAGGAACGATAAGGAAAGCGAAAGTAGAATCAGTAAGGAGAATTATAGCCAAAGTTTGTAAAGGCCAAAAGACTTGCTGTTTTTAGTGATCCTCCGAAATTGTGCTTTCCCCGCGCGGAGTCCTCTGAGTGGATCCGGCTGCTTGGAAAAGCTCTCCACCTCTCAGCTGGGCAGCTGCTGGCGTTCTCAATGCCGGTAAACTGAGAAACCCCCTTCAGCGGGAAACGGTCTGGCTGCCGGTGAACTGAGGCTCGATGGAAGATCGCGGAGAGAGAGAGCTTGAATCCAGCCGATTAACCAGTCGCGGAGCTGAGGCTCGCGAGCCGAAGCCGAAATCCAGCTGATCCTTTTGCTTTTCCGAATTGAATTTGTAATTGCCAATTGATTCTAATCAGATAATGAACTAAAAAATTGATTTGCAGAAGTGTAACTAATTAACCTAATCTGTTCTACGGAGCCTAACAAAACTACGTGCTGCCGAGCTCAAGACTAAATCAAAACTGGAGACACGCTCAAAGGAAGAGGCGTGGCCAAAGTTCTGGCCTAGTCTGCTGAGCAGGAAGGCTGTAATAATCCATCCGGTGGATTCTACAATCATCCTGCTGGAGAACTCTCCCTTTCCCCTCAGCATGGCTGGCTCAGGAATTCTGGGAGTTGAAGTCCACGAGTCATAAAAGAGCCAAGGTTGCCTACCCCTGGTGTAGATGATGCAGTTGTCCCAGTTTACCCGAGTTACCCTTGGTTCCTCACAGGTTGCCGAGCTACATTTCTCAGGCTGTGGACTCTTGGCCAGGCTAGCCGGGATCTGCTGGGAATCGTTGTTCCACAACATCTGGAGGGCCCGGGCCCTTCTAATCCGAACGCTGCTTTTCATTAAAGCCTCATCGATGCCAAATAAATAGAAATAAACACTGGAACACGAATGCTTTTGTGAAAACAGAACTTTCCGAGTGTGCAGCTTTCAGATTCCTTGTGTTGGAAAGCTGCATTTCTTGGGTCTTTTGTGTAGGGAAGATTCTAACGCGTTATCCTGATTGATTTATGTCTGATCACCCCATTCAGGGTTTTCAAAAGGACAAGATTTGTTTTCTTTCTCCTCAGCCCATTCAGCTTCTTGTCTCCTTTCCAAGCATTTTGTGGTAAGAAAAGTGCAGCGCTGGTGTTTTTTCCCTCAGCTGTGTTTTCTGAAACAGAGAGAAAAAAGCTTATTTGCTTATTTCTAACTCCCGTTCAAAGAGCGGGGGGAGGGGGGAGGAGTTGTTCTCGAATCTCGCATTTTGTATACATGCTCTGGGTAAATCGTATTGTACGCCTGATCAAACTTTTAAGGAAGATCGGAAGGTGGGAGCTGTAACTTTTTCCCAAAGCAAGATGGACTTGAAGAGGGAAATTAAGCCTGCATTTGCTTCTTGCAGTTTCAGAGGCTTCTTAGCAATTGTACTATCCAGGAACTTAATATTAAGTTGTCCTCTACTTACGACCGGTCACTTATGGACTGTTCAGAGTTACAGCAGACTCCCCCAAAGGTAACACGATGTAAAAAAGACGTTGAGACTCTGGAAAGAGTGCAAAGAAGAGCAATGAAGATGATCAGGGGACTGGAGGCTAAAACATATAAGGAACGGTGGCTGGAATTGGGTATGTCTAGTTTAATGAAGAGAAGGACGAGGGGGGACATGATAGCAGTCTTTCAATATCTCAGGGTCTGCCCCAAAGAAGAGGCAGTCAAGCTGTTCTCCTTGGAGGCCATCTAGTCCAACACCCTGCTCAGACAGGAAACCCTATACCATTTCAGACAAAGGGCTGTCCAGTCTCTTCTTAAAACCTTCCAGTGTTGGAGCATTCACCACTTCTGGAGGCAGGTTGTTCCACTGGTTAATTGTTCTCACTGTCAGGAAATTCCTCCTTAATTTCAGGTTGCTTCTCTCCTTGATTAATTTCCATCCGTTGCTTCTTGTCCTACCTTCAGGTGCTTTGGAGAATAGCTTGACTCCCTCTTCTTCGAGGCAGCCCCTGAGATATTGGAACACTGCTAACATGTCCCCCTCGTCCTTCTCTTCATTAAACTAGACATACCCAATTCCAGCAACCGTTCCTTATATGTTTTAGCCTCCAGTCCCCTCATCATCTTTGTTGCTCTTCTCTGCTCTTTCTAGAGTCTCAACATCTTTTTTACATCGTGGTGACCATAACTGGATGCAGTATTCCAAGTGTAGCCTTACCAAGGCATTATAAAATGGTATTAACTCTTCACGTGATCTTGATTCTATCCCTCTGTTAATGTAGCCCAACACTGTGTTGGCTTTTTCGGCAGCTGCAGCACACGGCTGGCTCCTGTTTAAGTGATTGTCCACTAGGACTTTGAGGTCCCTTTCACAGTTGCTACTATTGAGCAGGGTGCCACCTTTACTATACTTGTACATTTGATTTTTCTTGCCTAAATGTTTGATAGCTGCATCTGAGTGTAATTGGTTTCCTTTGGGATCTGGTTCCTTTTTTTGCTCGCCAGGAGTGTTAAAAGTCTCATCCAGCATGAGTCCAAAACCTCAGAAGACTAAAGTTTGGGTCCCAGTGACCGACCCAGATTGGATCTTGTGACATTATCCTGGAACATGTCTATTTGCCTTCATTCGTTAAAATCTCCCGTCCAAAATTTATTTACCCACCATGAACTGAATTGGTTTCTGAGTGAAAATAGTTTATGGGAGAAAACTCTTTAGTGGGCAGAAAAAGCCGTACAATCCATATGTATGTATTTTATTTCATGCATTTAAATAATTTTTTTTCAGAGAAGAGATCCATAGATTTGCCCCTAAACTGGAAGGGATCCGTAGCACAGAAATACTAGGAAAAACATTTCTTTGCTAACGATCTAACAATAACCTTATGAAAACCCACTAAGTGACCTATGGATTGTGTGTAATTTTTGCACTAACATCTAATTTGATCAAAAACGCCTAGGAATCAACTTGTGAAATAACAGCTTTAGGGCTGGTGATTGGGAAAGAAAAAAAGGAAAATCCTCGCAAATCAGCAGCATTTGTCGGAAATGTGTGTTCCTTTGTAAGTGTGGAAAAATGGTCATACGTCTCTTGAGTGCGGTTGTAAATTTGGTCACTAAATGAATGGTTGTAAGTTGAGGACTGCCTGTTTATCAGGCTTTGAATCCTGATTTGGACCTAACGCAGACCTGGCTTGTTTAATGATTCTCATTAAAGAAAGCATCCGACAGATGTGGATGGGCAGTCGGCTATGCTTTGTGGAGATGGGACTTTGGAAAACCATCCCATATTGTCAACTTTTTGTTTTTTACATCTGTCTCTTTCTTTCTTTCTGTGTTTCTAGGAATATTTTAGTAGACAAGCCCAATGATCAATCTTCAAGGTGGTCGTCAGAAAGCAACTACCCTCCACAGGTAATTTTTAATGGCTGCAAACATTCTCCCCCTAGTTACCCCACAACAACCCTGTGAGGTGCATTGGGGCTGAGAGAGAGGGACTGGGCCAAATCCTCAGCCTCAGCTGGGACTAGAACTCATGATCTCCTGGTGATTGGTCCAGAGTTGCCCAGCTGTCCTTCATGTCTAAGGCGGGACTAGAACTCACTGTCTCCTGGTGATAAGCCCAAAGTCATGCAGATGACTTTCACGTCTAAGGCGAGACTATAACTCATCATCTCTTGGTGATTGGCCCAGAGTTATGCAGATGACTATCATGCCCAAGGCGGGACTAGAACTCACCATCTCCTGATGACTGGCTCAAAGTCACCCAGTTGGTTTTCATGCTTCAGGTGGGTCTAGAACTCATCATCTCCTGGTGATTGGCCCAGAGTTGCCCAGCTGTCCTTCATGTCTAAGGCGGGACTAGAACTCACTGTCTCCTGGTGATTGGCCCAAAATCACCCAGTTGGCTTTCATGCCTAAGGTGGGACTAGAACTCACCATCTCCTGGTGATTGGCCCAATGTGATGCAGATGATTTTCACGTCTAAGGTGGGACTAGAACTCATCATCTCCTGGTGATTGGCCCAGAGTTATGCAGACGACTTTCACGCCTAAGGCGGGACTAGAACTCACCGTCTCCTGGTGACTGGCTCAAAGTCACACAGCTGTCCTTCATGGCTAAGGCAAGACTAGAACTCACCGTCTTCTGGTCAGTGACCCAAAGTCATCCAACTGGTTTTCATGCATCAGGTGGGACTAGAACTCACAGTCTCCTGGTGATTGGCCCAGAGTTGCCCAGCTGTCCTTCATGTCTAAGGCGGGACTAGAACTCACTGTCTCCTAGTGATTGGCACAAAAGCACCCAGTTGGCTTTCATGCCTAAGGTGGGACTAGAAGTTGCCGTCTCCAGGTAATTGGTGCAATGTCTCCCAGCCGGCTTTTATACCTAAGGTGACTAGAGGTCACCATTTCTTGGTGATTGGTCTAAAGCAGTGGTTCTCAACCTGTGGGTCGGGACCCCATTTGGGGTCGAATGACCATTTCACGGGGGTCGCCAAACAAGGCTGTCCGCCATTTTTTCCCCCTTTTCTTTGGCCACGCCCTTGGTACCCGGTGATGTATAAGTGGTTGGGGGTCACCACAACATGGGGAACTGTATTATGGGGTCGTGGCATTAGAAAGGTTGAGAACCACTGGTCTAAAGTCACCCAGCTGCTTTCATGCCTAAGGTGGAATTTGGACTCGTCCTTTATCCCCCCTCCTTCATTCTTCCTGCTATTTCCATTTCTTTAATTAAGACTTCCCTTATGCCTCCCTTGTACCTATGAAATTATATTTTCCCTCCGTATCTTGTTTATTTCTCATTCTTTGGGCATTGGAATATAAAATATGGTGTTTCTCAATTTTAATAACTTTAATCTCTGTGGACTTAAACTCTCAGAATTACCTGGCATGCTGGCTGTGGAATTCTGGGAGTTGAAGTCCACACAGATCAAAGTTCTTAAGGTTGAGAAATACTGCTCTAGACAATGAAAATAATGAACTTTCTGAGCTGATATCCTTCCTGATTTTTCACTGAGTTGTTAGGAGCCCCCCCCCTCGCCAGCTACCCACTACAACTACACTCCCAGCATCTTTTACCTCAGTGGTTCTCAACCTTTTTAATGCCGCGACCCCCAACCAGTCGTAAGTCGAGGACTACCCAACCGGTCGTAAGTCGAGGACTTTCCCTGCCCGTGAGCGCCGCACATGCGTGGTGCCGCCCCCTGTGCCGGTCGAGGCGTAGCTAGCAAGCGGCAGAGACGGCGCTGGCCGACTACCGGCTGGGCCACCAGCTGGCCCAGCCCAAGGGAGGTAAGGTACCCGCCGGGCCCCACGTGAGCCAGCAACCCTCCCTGCGCCCGCCGGCCTCCCACCTCCCAGCCCTGGCCCTCTTTTACTTACATTTTTAGTAGTTGCTCAGCAGGAAGGGGTGGAAACTTCCAGACAGCTTGCCTTCGCTGCAGACAACTTGCAGCACCGTTTGCAGAATGGGACTTTTGGCGGGCTCAGCAGGGCAGAGACAGCCTGGACAATTCCTATTGGCTTTTGAAAGCCAATAGAATTAGACTCTATTCAAGAGAGTCTATTCTATTGGCTTTCAAAAGCCAATAGAATAAAAGGGAGTAGCACAGATAAGGAAAAGGGGAAAAAAATGGCGGACTGCGTTGTTTGGCGACCCCCGTGAAATGGTCGTTTGACCCCAAATGGGGTCGTGACCCACAGGTTGAGAACCGCTGCTCTAGACAATGAAAATAATGAACTTTCTGAGCTGATATCCTTCCTGATTTTTCATTGAGTTGTTAGGAGCCCCCGCCAGCTACCTACTACAACTACACTCCCAGCATCTTTCACACGAATATTTGCTTTTTACTGGGAGTGAAAACCTGAAGATGCTCCTTGTGTCTTATGGGAGTAGCTCACAATGATCTAAGAAGAAACCTTTTTAAAGAACAAATTTTTAGGCCATTTCTTACCTGTTTTTCCCATAAAACTAAATTTGCATCCTGGTTATTTGCTTTTGTTGTTGTTGTTGTTGGTATACAGTTAGTCCTTGACTTACGACCGTTTAATGACCGTTCAAAGTTACAATACCGTGAAAAAAGTGACGTACCACTATTTTCCACACTCATGCCAATTGCAGCATCACGTGATCAAAATTCAGAGCCTTGGCAACTGGCGTGTATTCATGATGGTCGCAGTTTCCCTGGGGGGGGGGTCACGCGATCCCCTTTTGCGACCTTCTGACAAGCAAAGTCAATGGGGGAAGCCACATTCAGTTAAGAACCATTGTCAGAGCATGCACAGTCTTATTGCGCGAGATAACCCAGGAGTAAATACAGTAAACAGTGGTCTATACTAAATGGTGGTTTATCCTACACTGTCTACAATATCATATCCCAGGAACAATATACATACATGTATTAAGACAGCAGTCTCCAACACAAAGCAATTACAGCAGGAAACAGAAGAGAGAACACATCTGCAGAGTCTTCCATCTTATACAAGGCTCTTAAAGAGATACAGACCCTGCTGGCTCTTAAAGGGACACAGACCCTGCTGAGTCATTCCCCAACATTACAGCATACATTACATCAGCTGGTTAGCTTCTAAATTATTACCTTGATAACCGTGTTACTAATTGAACAACAGCAGCGATTCCCTTAACAACTGCGGCAAGAAAGGTCGTAAAAGGGGGCCAAATCCACTTAACAACTGCCTCACTTAGCAACAGAAATTTTGGGCTCGATGGTGGTCGAGCATTGCCCATACAGGAAGCAGTAATAAATGAATAATACAGGAAATAATAAATGTTGCTTTAGTTGGATAGCAGCTTTAAGTAACTAGGATTCCTTAGAGCAGGGGTCCCCAACCTGTTGACCACGGTCCACTCCTGGACCGCGGCCTCTTGGCCCTTGGGCTGCATGAATGGCTGGCCAGTGTACCCTGAGTGTCGTGCAGGCGCTAGGCCTGCTCCCAGCACCGTGCGGGCGCTTGTGCCACCCCTAGCTTCGCGCGGGTGCTAGCCCCGCACCCAATGCTGCCCTTGTTTGCATCCTGTGCGCGCACGCACCCCATGCCTCTCCCTTTCCCTCTGGGCCACCAACCTAAAAAGGTTTCTCCAACCTTTTTGATTTGGCGGCCCGGAAAGGGAGTCTTGCACTGCTACGTGCACGCGCGCAAATGGGCCGCACGTGTGCACATGCAAAAAATGGGCCGCACGTGTGCACATGCAAAAAATGAGCCCCGTGTGCGCACGCACAAATGGGCTGCATGTGAGCGCATGTGCATACGCAAATGGCCGCACGCGAGCGCATGCGCACATGCAAACGACTGCGCGGGCGTGAGTGCACGTGAGTGGCGCTAGCGCCAGTGGGATGCTCAGGACTGCGCCAATGTGGGGGGGGTGTGAGTGCACGTGGACTGGCCACCCCCTTCACGTGGCCCAGGGGCCAAGCGGTAGTGGTCTGCGGCCCACAGATTGGAAGACCCCTGCCTTAGAGGGGAAGATCCATTGCCTTTGCCCCCTTCTTTCGCTACCTGGAATCTCACACTCCAGCGTGCACAAAATCCAAGTTGTTTTGCACGAGGTGGAGCATTGAGGAAAAAGCCAACCCTAACTTGAAATTTCAGCTAAAAATAACCAGCTAAGCAATCGTGTTCCGCGTTTCCTCCATGCATTTACCAGATGGCCTTTAATAGTTCCTCTTGGCAGAAAAAGTGGCTCTGTGCAATAGTTAGAAGTGTGATAATGAGGCACTGACATTGTCTTGAGAATAACAGCATTAAGCATTTTTCCCCCCCTATCAGTCTAGAGAGCTTGGAAAACATCCTGTAGATCTGTAGCTTTGGCTCAGCCAGTCATTTTCAGGTGCATTGTAGCTGTCAATCTCCAGAGCGAGGCATTTAATGTTTTTTTTTTTTTTTAATGGGACAGTCGGATAATTGGGCCGCATGCTAAATAGGAGCACTGGTGGCTGAAGACAAAATATCTGCAGGGAGGCCTTAAGTTACTCCCATTTGTTTAGTGCAGTGGTTCTCAACCTGTGGGTCGGGACCCCATTTGGGGTCGAACGACCATTTCACGGGGGTCGCCAAACAACGCAGTCCGCCATTTTTTTCCCCCTTTTCCTTAGCTGTGCTACTCCCTTTTATTCTATTGGCTTTTGAAAGCCAATAGAATAGACTCTCTTTTTTTTATTGAAAATTTTTGAAATTTTTACAAATAAAGAAAAAAAAAAAAACCCACCCTACCCAACTCACCCCAACCCTCCCACTCCATCCCCCCAACCTTCCCAGAGCTGAATATAGGCTTAATTAGAATTTCTACAAATCTTAAAAAAAAAAAAAAAATTAAAAAGTATAAACCATAGATAAATCAAAATACATTACATAAACAACTTATAAAATGATTAACAATAATATATAAGTAAAAAAAACATAAATATTAAAAAAAGAAAAAACTTAAAAGGAAAAAGAATAAAAAAGAAAAGAGAAAAAAAAGATATAAAAAGATAAAAAAATAAAATAAAAATAAGAAATATAAGAAAAGAGAAAAGAGAAGAAAAAAAGGATACAATCTATAAAATATTAAAATTTATATATAAGTTATTGAAAAACTAAGTAATATTTTTTTATATCCAACTTATATTGTATAAAATCTATCCATTTTTCCCATACCGCAAAAAACTTCTCTTGCGATTGGTCCTTTAAGAAAGCCGAAATCTTTGCCATTTCTGCCAGATAAGAAACTTTAAAAAACCACTCTTGCAAGGTAGGCAGAGATTCCTTCTTCCAATATTGCCCTACTAACAACCTTGCAGCTGTAATTAAATTTAACATCAATATAACCTCCTTAGTATCACAATCAGTAACGATACCTAACAAAAACAATTGTGGAGTAAATTTTACCCTCCTTCTAAAAATTCTTTGAATATTCCACCATATCTTAATCCAAAAAGCTTTTATATTTTTACATGACCACCAAATATGATAATAAGTAGCATCCAAACAATCACATCTCCAACATTTAGGCTGTAAGTCAGGATAGGAATAGACTCTCTTGAATAGAGTCTAATTCTATTGGCTTTCAAAAGCCAATAGGAATTGTTCAGGCTGTCTCTGCCCTGCTGAGCCCGCCAAAAGTCCCATTCTGCAAACGGTGCTGCACCAGTTGAGTAGTCCTCGACTTAAGACCGGTTGAGTAGTCCTCGACTTACGACTGGTTGGGGGTCGCGGCATTAAAAAGGTTGAGAACCACTGGTTTAGTGGCAGTTCAAAGTCACAAGGGCAGTGAAAAAAAGTGACCCGTGACCAATTTTGACACTTTTTTTGTTGAACATTTGATTGATTTTTCCAATATTACATTTATATCTTTGAAAAGCCACGTGGCGACTGAGTTACCATAATTCAATTACGTACTAATCTCATCAGTACAAATCCCAAACTATTACAGTAAATATTTCCTCTCTTTTTCCCTTAAGATGTACTGTCTTGTATTTGAATTAATACACTTCTTATTCTGTCAGTCAAGTAAAAAATAACTTTCTTATACATTGATCAATAGTTTATAGTTTATATATATATCTTAATCATTTTAACATTCAATCTTTGAGACAATTCATGTCCTAGCGAATTTTTCCCAATTTTAATTTTCCATTAATATTTAAAATTAACGTTTGATATTTATCATTTCCAAATTTTCACACTCCCCATGGTCGCCTGATCGGAATCTGGACACTGGGCAACTGACTCATATTTATGATGGTTGCAGTGTCCCGGGCTCATGTGAGTCCCTTTTACGTCTGAATTTTGATCATGTGGGATGCTTAAAAATGTAAGTATAAAAAATGGTCACAAGTCACTTTTTTCAGTGCCCTCGTAACTTTGGATGTTGTAAATCAAGGAATGTCTTTAGTCCTAAGAGGAACACCTCTGATTTCAATTTATATTCATTTTAAGAATCTTCTGCAATAAAATACGAAGCCGGCCCCAATATTTCACCTTGTAATTTAGTTGTGAGTCTTTATGGGGTCTTTTATTTTACAGTAATATGAGTCTTTACAGTCCTGTGAGTCTTTATTATATTTATTATCGTATTTCTGCCCCCACAGTAATTGTCAAGCCAACCCACAGTAATTTGCAACCCGACATTAAACAATTATACGCTCAGTAAATGAAACACAGCGTTAAACCAATAAAATAAATACCAATAAAACCACACACACACACACACACACACACAAAATGCCTCATAATGTGAAGTAACTTTTTTGAATAAGCTGAATGTTTTAAGTGGAAGAAAATTTCACAGGACAATTTTTGGGTTTGCCATAGGATTATATTCAAACATTGGGCCCTGTCGAGGTACTTTGATCTAGTTCATAAGTGATTTATTGGATTATTTTTTAAAAAACAATTATATATAATGTCCCAAAGGTGCTTTTTCAGGAAACAACTGGACATTCTTGTTTTTCATTCAAGAAGCTTCTTGAGCTGTGACTGGATGGCGGGGTATGGAAGGATTTATACTCCTTGCAGAATAGAATAGAATAGAATAGAAAATATGAAATGGAATGGAATAGAATAGAATAGAAAATGTGGAATAGAATAGAATAATAGAATAGAATAGAACAGAACAGAATAGAATAGAATAGAAAATGTGGAATGGAATAGAATAGAATAGAATAGAATAGAATAGAATAGAAAATATGGAGTAGAATAGGGAATAGAATAGAATAGGGTAGAAAATATGAAATAGAATAGAATAGAAAATGTGGAATAGAATAGAATAGAAAATATGAAATGGAATAGAATAGAATAGAATAGAAAATGTGGAATGGAATAGAATAGAAAATATGGAATGGAATGGAATAGAATAGAATAGAATAGAAAATGTGGAATAGAATAGAATAGAAAATATGGAATGGAATAGAATAGAAAAAATGAAATAGAATAGAATAGAAAATATGCAATGGAATAGAATAGAATAGAAGAGAAAATATGAAATGGAATAAAATAGAATAGAAATAGAATAGAATATATGAAATAGAATAGAATAGAAATAGAATAGAATAGAAAAGAAAAAAGAAAATATGGAATAGAATAGAATAGAATAGACTATCTTTATTGTCATTGTATAACCCCCAACGAAATTAAGTGCTAACCACTCTGCCATCACGGTCCAACCGAGAATTACGTCACCCATTCAGTATGTTTTGCTGATTTCATTTTAATGTTCTCTTTACTTCAAAACATTTTGGGATTAATAACCTGACAGAGGTGAGACCACAAGACCCACGTGCCTCTTTTTCTCCTCTTCCTCTTCCAGTATTTGATCTTGAAACTTGAAAGACCGGCCATAGTTCAGAGCATCACATTTGGAAAATACGAGAAGACGCACGTCTGTAATTTAAAAAAATTTAAAGTCTTTGGTGGAATGAATGAAGAAAACATGACTGATCTTTTATCAAGGTAGGGTTCTTTCCGTGTCTTTAGTGCCCATCGTAACAAAACTAAAAAAAACCCTGAAGGTCTGGTTTGATGTTTTAGCAAAAAAAATAATAAATCAATCATACTTTTTGCCCTTTTCTCTGTGGTTTATGTTTTCCTTTTTATATGCCCTAGGCCAGGGGTAGGCAACCTTGGCCCTTTTATGACTCGTGGACTTCAACTCCCAGAATTCCTGAGCCAGCCATGCTGAGGGTAAAGGGAGAGGTTCCCGAGCTGAGTCATGCTGGCTCAGGAATTCTGGGAGTTGAAGTCCACGAGTCATAAAAGAGCCAAGGTTGCCTACCCCTGGTCTAGGAGGCTCACCGCTTAGAACAGGAGGACTTAGGACAGGGGTAGGCAACGTTGGCTCTTTTATGACTCGTGGACTTCAACTCCCAGAATTCCTGAACCAGCCGTGCTGAGGGGAAAGGGAGAGGTTTCCAAGCTGAACCATGCTGGCTCAGGAATTCTGGGAGTTGAAGTCCACGATTCATAAAAGAGCCAAGGTTGCCTACCCCTGCTTTAGGTTCTGTTTGATGTTTTCAAAGTACTGTAGAATTATTTTAAATAGAGATTGAAAAACAATGCTTCTGGACTGATTTTGATGAATCCACGTTCAAATTAAAACTTCAGCATCCCGATCGACTTTTTGATATATTGACTTTTTAACTTAAATGTAGGAAAATGATGTACAGAACAGAAAGTTGCTTAGTCAGCATTATTGGTGATGGCCCTCTGGCCCCTAATGGCCTTTTATAGATGCCAGCTTATCATATATAAAACCTGTCTACGAATTCACTTCACTTTGAATAATGTTTCACATTGTTTTTTTTCCCTTTACAGTGGCTTAAAGAATGACTATAACAAAGAAACATTTACTCTGAAGCATAAAATCGATGAGCAGATGTTCCCTTGTCGATTTATTAAGATAGGTAAATATGTAATTGTTCTCTTGCTTTTTTTAGCATTTCCCTCTCGGATTATTTGCTCACTGTTTCTCAACCTTGGAATCAATAGTTGGAGCATTCACCGCTTCTGGAGGCAGATTGTTCCACTGGTTAATTGTTCTGACTGTCAGGAAGTCTCTCCTTAGTTCTAGGTTGCTTCTCTCCTTGATTAGTTTCCATCCATTGCTTCTTGTCTTGCCTTCAGGTGTTTTGGAGAAAAGCTTGACTGCCTCTTCTTTGGGGCAGCCCCTGAGAGATTGGAAGGCTGCTATCCTGTCCCCCCTCGTCCTTCTCTTCATTAAACTAGACATTCCCAATTCCAGCAGCCGTTCCTTATATGTTTTAGCCACCAATCCCCTAATCATCTTTGTTGCTCTTCTCTGTACTCTTTCTAGAGTCTCAACATCTTTTTTACATCGTGTTGACCAAAACTGGATGCAGCATTCCAAGTGTAGCCTTACCAAGGCCTTGTAAAGTGGTATTAACCCTTCACCTGATCTTGATTCTATCCTTCTGTTAATGCAGCCCAACACTGTGTTGGCTTTTTTGGCAGCTGCAGCACACAGCTGGCTCATATCTAAGTGATTGTCCACTAGTGAAAGATCAGGTCCGCCCGTGAAGGCACAGTTAAGCTGATTGATTGCTACTCTTGCCTATGCATAGGAATTCTCTCAACTAATTGGTTAGCTCTATTTTGGCACTAGATAAGGGCAGTTGGACTCTGTTGGTGGCTACGTAGGGATTCTAGGCTGATCCCTCTTTTAACTCCACCCCCAGGTTCTGCCACAGCAGCTTTAAGATGAGTGGGTTTCTTCAAAGCTAGTTGGAGGAACGCTGGCAGATTTAAGATGAGTGGGTTTCTTCAAAGCTAGTTGGGGGAACGCTGGGAGTTAAAGTCCACCCGTCTTAAAGCCACGAGGATTGAGAAACATCGCTCTTGCTTGTTCTATTTCTGTGCTTCCTGCAGTTTTTGGAACTCGGTTCCTTTCCGTCTTGACAGATTGCTGTGGGGCCGTTTGGACTGGGAGTGTCTTGCGGGTTATTTCAGCGGAGGGATTTCGCGATGATCCTGATTGTTAGTGGCCTCCAGCATAAAAAGGAGCGATAGGAGTAAAGTTTGTGCTGCTTCGTTTCCCTTGAGAAACTAGCACCATATGGAGGGACAGTTAGGTGTAGTGGTTAAGGTACTGTCCTAAAAACCAGGAGATGGCAAGTTCTAGTCCCACTTTAGGCATGAAAACCGGCTGGGTGACTTTGGGCCAATCACCAGGAGACGGTGGGATATATAGTCCCATCTTAGACATGAAAGCTGGATGAATGACTTTGGGCCAATCCCACGAGGACCGTGAGTTGCAGTCCTACCTTAGTCACAAATGGTATCTGGGTGACTTTGGGCCAACCCCCCCAGGAGATGGTGAGTTCTAGTCCTGTCTTAGACATGAAAGCCATCCGGGTGACTTTGGGCCATTCACTAGGAAACTGTGAGTTCTAGTTCTGCCTTTGTTTTTGTTTTTTTAAACACTTTCTAAACAGCCACCGACAACTGAAAATGGAGAGATAAATATTTTTGACTACTTAAGAAACTGCCTGGATGCTTAGGATCAGCAGAAACCCGGGTGTTTAGCACAAGGAGGCGTCTCTTTGTGTTCCCGGCCTCTAGGAAAATGCTAAAATTGCATTTCTTCCACCAAGCTTTGAACGCTTCGTTGATTTTAATTGTGTCGGTGTTATTGTCCTCTTCAGCATTTTGTTTGTGGCACGAGGGTGGCATGCCACCTTGAAGGCATAACGTAAGCAAAAAGGGGGGATATCCATTGAATTCAACACGACGCTTTCTTAGTGTTTCCGTCTCTGATTCTTGCTCACTTGTTTCTCAACCTCGGTATCGGTAGCGAAAGATCAGGCCCACACACGAAGGCACACTTACACTGATTGATTGCTACTCAGGCCTATGCACAGGAATGCTCTCAGCTAACTGGTTAGCACTATTTTGGCACTAGATAAGGGCAGTTGGACTCTGTTTGTGGCTACGTAGGGATTCTAGGCTGATCCCTCTTTTAACTCCACCCCCAGGTTCTGCCACAGCCATCTACGCTTGCCAGCTTTCAGATGAGTGGGTTTCTTCAAAGCTACCGTGTTTTCCTAAAAGTAAGGCCTACACTAGGGGTAGGCAACCTTGGCTCCGTTCTGACTCATGGACTTCAACTCCCAGAATTCCTGAGCCAGCATGGCTCAGCTTGGAAACCTCTCCTTTTCCCCTCAGCATGGCTGGCTCAGGAATTCTGGGAGTTGAAGTCCACGAGTCATAAAAGAGCCAAGGTTGCCTACCCCTGGATTAGAGGAACACGGTAACTATGCTAAAGATCAACATCAGTAGATCATTCCAGTTGTGCAACTGTCTGAAGGAAGCCACACAGTTAAAACCCTCCTGGGGGTCTTAAAAGGAAAGCATCGTGGCAATGAATCTCTGTGTTGGCAACAGTTGTGATGCAAGCTAGGCAGTTGTCTCTGGGTTGAGGGAGATTCGGATTTGTTTAATAAAACAACAGGCATCTGATTTGTTTTGCATCCTGATCCTTGGGTGGTCCTAGAAGCCTGGAAGTTTTTTTTCCCCGTCCTCCGCTAATATATCTTCTTTGCATCTGTTTGTGGTTAAGAGCATTGGCGTGACAGGTCTGAATCCCACTCTTCCTCTTCTGTTGTATCGTGGCTATTGATTGCCTGCTGATTCTATTTTATTTTTGAATGTTTATTCCTTCCTCCTTTCCTGTCTAACTGAGGCTAAAGGATAAATTGAAAGGCTCTATTGAGAACTGAATGCCACAAATTCAGCAGAAGCAGTAGCTTGTCGAAGTAATGGGAGTGTTGATATGAATAGCCCTTCTCTTTTTCCCTCTTCCTTTCCCCTTCTCCTTTCCCTCTCTCCCTCCCTTCCTCCTCCTCCTCCCCTCCCTTCCTCCTTCCTTTCCCTCCTCTTCCCCCTGCCCTCCCTCCCTTCCTCCTTCCTTCCTTCCCTCCTTCTCTTCCCTCCCTCCTCCTCTTCCCTTCTCCTTCCTTCCTTCCTTCCTTCCCCTCCCTCCTTCCCCCCTCCTCCTCTTCCTCCCTCTCCGCTCCCCCTTCCTTCCTTCCTTCCTTCCTTCCTTCCTTCCTTCCTTCCTTCCTTCCTTCCTTCCTTCCTTCCTTCCTTCCTTCTCCCTCCCTCCCTCCCCTTCCTTCCTTCCTTCCTTCCCCTCCTCCCCTCCCTCCCACCTTCCCCTCCTCCTCCTCTTCCTCCCTCTCCCCTCCCCCCTTCCTTCCTTCCTCTTCCTCCTCTCCTCCTCCTCCCTCCTGCTCCCCTCCTCCCTCCCTTCCTTCCTTCCTTCTCCTCCCTCCTCTTCCTTCCTTCCTTCCCCTCCTCCCCTTCCTCCCACCTTCCCCTCCTCCTCCTCTTCCTCCCTCTCTCCTTCCCCCTTCCTCCTCCTCTCCTCCTCCCTCCCTCCCTCCCTTCCTTCCTTCCTTTCTTCCTTCCTTCCTTCTCCTCCCTCCCTCCTCTTCCCCTCTTCCTTCCTCTTCCCCTCCCTCCCTCCCGCTTCTCCCTCCCTCATCCCACCCCATCCCATCTTTGGGCAGTATAAGATAGACCAGTAAACCAGGGATTAGCTGGAGATTCCCAAATTGAGAAAGGCTGCCATAACTGTTGGAGAACTTAAAATGCCATCTATAAGTGGGTCCATTTATTTTGTAAGTAAAATCAGTAAACTTTGATGCGCATATTAAAATATAAGTGTTTGTATACCATCAGTTTGATATTCACATGTGTTCACTGAAGAATTCAGCATCCCTTTGGCTCCTTTTAATTCCTCATCAAGAGCAGAGAGTCTTGCTGCTAGATAAAAAATAAGTAATAGAGACGTCGATGAGACAGAAATGCTTTTTGCTCATTTATTAGAGAACTGTGTTTGACTGTTTGTCCTCGGTGGGCTGGAATTCTGGTGCTCTGACATGCAGAATAAAGATATTTATGAGATAAAAGTCTTCCTATTACAAGCTAGTAGGAAACGATTAATAGAAAGACTTTTATCTATTTGTCGGGGGTACGTTTGTCATGGTTAAGGCACCAGGCTAGAAACCAGGATACTGTGAATTCTAGTCCTGCCTTAGACATGAAACATGATTTTGGGCCAATCAGCAGGAGGCGGTGAGTTCTAGTCCCACCTTAGACATGAAAGCCAGCTGGGCCAATCACCAGGAGACAGTGAGTTATCTAATTTATCTGTCTATCCATCTTATCTATCTACTCTCTTATCTGTTTGTCCATCCATCCATCCATCCAGTGTATTATCTAATCTATCTCTCTGTCTATCCATCTTATCTGTCTACTCTTATCTATTTCTCCATCCATCCATCCATCCATCCATCCATCCATCCATCCAGTGTGTTATCTAGTCTGCCCATCTTAGCTATCCAATCTCTTATCTATTTGTCCGTCCATCCATCCATTCATCCATCCATCCATTCATTCAGTGTGTTATCTAATCTATCCATCTTATCTATCTACTCTTTTATCTGTTTGTCCATCCATCCATCCATCCATCCATCCATCCATCCATCCAGTGTATTATCTAATCTATCTCTCTGTCTGTCCATCTTATCTGTCTACTCTCTTATCTGTCCATCCATCCATCCATCCATCCATCCATCCATCCATCCAGTGTATTATCTAATCTATCCATCTTATCTGTCTGCTCTCTTATCTGTTTGTCCATCCATCCATCCATCCATCCAGTGTATTATCTAATCTATCCATCTTATCTGTCTGCTCTCTTATCTATTTGTCCGTCCATCCATCCATCCATCCATCCTTTCAGTGTGTTATCTAATCTATCCATCTTATCTGTCTGCTCCCTTATCTATTTGTCCATCCATCCATCCATCCATCCAACCAACCATTGTATTATCTAATCTATCTGTCTATCCATCTTATCTATTTAATCTATTTGTTCATCCATCCATCCATCCATCCATCCATCCATCCATCCATCCAAAGGCTGCCCATCTTAAGCAAATCTGTGCTGCTCACAGCAACCATAACAATTTAACAGAACTAGGAAACCACCTTTATCGGAAAGAAAGCCTGGTGTGTGCTAGCATATCCGCTGCTAAAGTCCTAACCTGGAGCTGGATGAGATTCTGGGACAAACATAACTCTCCCTAACAGACAAGTACTTGACCTCTGCTATTTATTGCTAACCTTAGACGTATCTTCAAGCAGACCCTTAAATATATCATAAAGCTTCAGTTTGCTGTGGGGCTGTTTGGACTGGGAGTGTCTTGCGGGTTATTTCAGCCGGAGGGATTTCGTGATGATCCTGATTGTTAGTGGCCTCCAGCATAAAAAGGAGCGATAGGAGTAAAGTTTGCGCTTCCTTCCTTCCTTCCTTCCTTCCTTCCTTCCTTCCTTCCTTCCTTCCTTCCTTCCTTCCTTCCCCTCCTCCCCTTCCTCCCACCTTCCCCTCCTCCTCCTCTTCCTCCCTCTCTCCTTCCCCCTTCCTCCTCCTCTCCTCCCTCCCTCCCTCCCTCCCTCCCTTCCTTCCTTCCTTTCTTCCTTCCTTCCTTCTCCTCCCTCCCTCCTCTTCCCCTCTTCCTTCCTCTTCCCCTCCCTCCCTCCCGCTTCTCCCTCCCTCATCCCACCCCATCCCATCTTTGGGCAGTATAAGATAGACCAGTAAACCAGGGATTAGCTGGAGATTCCCAAATTGAGAAAGGCTGCCATAACTGTTGGAGAACTTAAAATGCCATCTATAAGTGGGTCCATTTATTTTGTAAGTAAAATAAGTAAACTTTGATGCGCATATTAAAATATAAGTGTTTGTATACCATCAGTTTGATATTCACATGTGTTCACTGAAGAATTCAGCATCCCTTTGGCTCCTTTTAATTCCTCATCAAGAGCAGAGAGTCTTGCTGCTAGATAAAAAATAAGTAATAGAGACGTCGATGAGACAGAAATGCTTTTTGCTCATTTATTAGAGAACTGTGTTTGACTGTTTGTCCTCGGTGGGCTGGAATTCTGGTGCTCTGACATGCAGAATAAAGATATTTATGAGATAAAAGTCTTCCTATTACAAGCTAGTAGGAAACGATTAATAGAAAGACTTTTATCTATTTGTCGGGGGTATGTTTGTCATGGTTAAGGCACCAGGCTAGAAATCAGGAGACTGTGAATTCTAGTCCTGCCTTAGACATGAAACATGACTTTGGGCCAATCAGCAGGAGGCGGTGAGTTCTAGTCCCACCTTAGACATGAAAGCCAGCTGGGCCAATCACCAGGAGACAGTGAATTATCTAATCTATCCGTCTATCCATCTTATCTATTACTCTTTTATCTGTTTGTCCATCCATCCATCCATCCATCCATCCAGTGTATTATCTAATCTATCCATCTTATCTGTCTGCTCTCTTATCTATTTCTCCATCCATCCATCCACCCACCCACCCACCCACCCATCCATCCATCCATCCATCCATCCATCCAGTGTGTTATCTAGTCTGCCCATCTTAGCTATCCAATCTTTTATCTATTTGTCCATCCATCCATCCATCCATCCAGTGTATTATCTAATCTATCCATCTTATCTGTCTGCTCTCTTATCTATTTCTCCATCCATCCATCCATCCATCCATCCATCCATCCATCCAGTGTGTTATCTAGTCTGCCCATCTTAGCTATCCAATCTTTTATCTATTTGTCCGTCCATCCATCCATCCATCCATCCATCCATCCATCCATCCAGTGTGTTATCTAGTCTGCCCATCTTAGCTATCCAATCTTTTATCTATTTGTCCATCCATCCGTCCATCCATCCATCCATCCAGTGTATTATCTAATCTATCCATCTTATCTGTCTGCTCTCTTATCTATTTGTCCATCCATCCATCCATCCATCCATCCATTCATTCAGTGTGTTATCTAATCTATCCATCTTATCTGTCTGCTCCCTTAACTATTTGTCCATCCATGCATCCATCCATCCAACCAACCATTGTATTATCTAATCTATCTGTCTATCCATCTTATCTATCTAATCTGTTTGTCCGTCCATCCATCCATCCATCCAAAGGCTGCCCATCTTAAGCAAATCTGTGCTGCTCATAGCAACCATAACAATTTAACAGAACTAGGAAACCACCTTTTATCGGAAAGAAAGCCTGGTGTGTGCTAGCATATCCGCTGCTGAAGTCCTAACCTGGAGCTGGATGAGGTTCTGTGACAAAGATAACTCTCCCTAACAGACAAGTATTTGACCTCTGCTATTTATTGCTAACCTTAGACGTATCTTCAAGCAGACCCTTAAATATATCATAAAGCTTCAGTTTTTGGGCAGTTTCGACTGCCCAGTTCCAAACGGGGAACTAGGTCAAATTAAGCGTAGCTGGTGGCTCTTCCCTTTAACCCTCAAGCACAACGCTTCCTTCACAGCGATCAAAGGGACGATGTCAGGAGCGCCATTGCTTCTCTATAAAATCATTGTCCGCTGCCTTCGTAACCGATTTGCGTAACAAGCAGCGCGGGAACTTTCTGCGTGTGTGATGACTCCCATTATTTCAGATTTGGACTGCCCGAGAAGCACAGCCTGTATAAGTGGTCGCATCATTTGAAATGCTGTTGGCATTCATTAGGTTTTATTTCTGTTTGAAGTGCTCCGGCATCTGCTGTGAGGTGCTTTGCGCTCGGTTGCTAAAGGGCAAGCGACATCAGACGCTTTTGAAATAACACACTTCGCCCTAATGGAAGGCATTTTAATTTCCTGGCAAAGCTGGCGTGTGTTGTTAGAAAGTGCTCGATTTTTAATTTGCTCTTTGCGCTAGGAAGTCGGAGTGTTTGCAGAGGGTTCTCCCCTCTTCCTGATCTTACAATTCTCGTGGGAGTCAGATGAACTGCAGGATGGTGAAGGATCCGGGGTTGTTGTCCAGGATTGGCCCAGAGGTGCTTTTCCAAAGGCAACTGAACTGAAGAAGCTTCTTGGATGAGAAGCAAAATGTTTTTAGGGGAAAACAAAGCCCAATTGTCTTTGGAAAAAGCACCGTTGGGATCAGCATGACCTGGATGGATGAGAATCTCAGTAGACATCTTTCCAGGACTGGGTTCCTACTGTAAATGTCCGTGTTTTGGATGGTGGAATGGCGTACGTTGAACATAAACTTCTAATGTGGCGTGATGTGGATTGAAGAAGTGATTTTTTTTTTTAAATTGAAAAGTTTTATACAAATTTTATTACAATACAGTAGGTTGACTCAGCCTTCCATCCTTCCGGGGTAGGTAAAATGAGGACCCAGATTGTTGGGGGCAATGTAAATATATATATATACATTGCTTACTGGTGTACACCGCTTAGAGAGTGCTTGCACTTAAAGCGGTATATAAGTCTCATAAATAAAATACAATATCCCTCCCTCCCCCCCTCCCCCCCTAACCCTCACCCCCCCTCACTTCCCAGAGCTGATTACAGGGTTACAAATAAGCAAAGAAATTCTAACAAAGCTTATCCAACTATACCAATAACCAAATCCCTAAAATACTTTAACTCAAATACAAAAAAAAAAAAAAAATTCCAAAGAAAAACAAAAATAACAATATAAACAATTCTCACTTTAAACCATGAGTTATTCAAAAACTAAATGATACTTTCTGATCCCATATTTATTCTGTACGTAATTTATCCATCTTCTCCACACCGAGATGTATCTTTCTTGTGAATGATCCTTCAAATAAGCAGAAATTTTGGCCATTTCTGCTAAATTAGAAACTTTAAGCGACCATTCTTCTATAGTGAGCAAAGAATCTTTCCTCTAATATTGCCCAACCAGTAACCTTGCAGCCGTAATAAGATTCAACATTAAAATAGTTTCTAAGAAGTGATTTTTAGCATATTTCGAAAAGGTGATTTTAATGAACCCTCCAAAGCTGTGGTGTCCTTGGTGCTCTCTTGAGTTTGGTGGTTTGTTTGCAGCTGTTAATATCAACAGTGCTAGATGGGAGTGGGGTTTGATCTTATTTTTCTATACCAGTTATACACAGCATCACAGTCTGGTTTGGAAGCATCCCTGCTTCAGACAGGAAGGCGGTGTAGAGAGTGGTGAGGACAGCAGAAAAGGCTATTGGCAGTTCCCTCCCTTCCATCCAGGATATGGCACATAAATGTTGCTTGAGCAGGGTCCCATCCCTTGTTCTCCAGGTTTTTTGGAGAATAGGTTGACCCCCCTGTCTTTTGTGGCAGCCCCTCAGATATTGGAACACTGCTATCATGTCTCCCCCTACTCCTTCTTTTCACTAGACTAGACAAACCCAGTTCCCACAACCGTTCTTCGTAAATTTTAGCCTCCATTCCCCTAACCATCTTTATTGTTCTTCTAAAAGACCCTGCTGGATTTGGAATCTTATTCCCAGAATGAGAAATTGTAATAGGAAAGGATAGAAAGACAACCAATTCTGTGATTCCGATAATCACATCCTCAAACAGCTGCTACTTTTGTCCTGTGTTCTTGAACGAACTGGAGCTGTGAAGTTGCCTAGGAGGAAACATGGAGGAATTCATATTTCAATTTCTTTGTCCTTCTTTTTTCCAGTTCCGCTCCTGTCCTGGGGTCCCAGCTTCAATTTTAGCATCTGGTATGTTGAACTCAACGGTATTGATGATCCAGATGTGGTACAGCCTTGTCTCAATTGGTACAGCAAGGTAGGATTGTATCCTGTGCATGAAACAGCTCCAGTTAGGTGGATGTTGTGTGTGTGTGTGTGTGTGTGTGTGTGTGAGAGAGAGAGAGAGAGAGAGAGAGAGAGCACTTTTGCTTGTGTGAATTGCAAAACTGAGTTCAAAGCCCCAGCTGCCTCTATTATACAGGGTCGTCCTCGACTTAATAACCATTCATTTAGCGTCCATTTGAAGTTACAGTGGCACTAAAAAAAAAAAAATCCCAAAGGTGCTTTTTCCGAAAGGCAACTGGACTTTTTTTGTTTTGTTTTTTTCTTTAAAATGTTCTTGTCAGAGGATGCACAGTCTTATTGCGCTGAGGTAACTCAGAAGTAAATGCAGTAAACAGTGGCTTGTAATTAAATGATGGTTTATATTACACTCTATCTACAAATATACAGTAGGAACAAAATACATAACACGTGGTGAAACAGCAAACTCCAATACACAGCAGCTACAGCAATCAAACGGATGAGGGAGAAAAAGTCTCCAGCAAAAAACTTCCCTTTTATACTCAGACTCTTAAAGGGATACACACGCCTGCTGAGTCATTCCTATTATTGCATCATCCACATTACACTACCTCTTTACACAAGCTGTTTAGCTGTTAAATAATTATCCTAACGGTTCTGCTTCTCATCCAAAGAACATCTTCAGAACTGAAGTCCAGTATTATGGGATGGTACATATTAGTGCTATGGCTATTGCTAACGATACAGTGCATAGATCAGCCATACCTCAAAAGATTCCTTATGAGGATAACATTGAATGAACCCATATATACTGCCCTGTTAAGCCTCTCCTTCCAAGGATCTTGATTTTCCTGTCCCCTAGGCCTGGGTGCACAAGGATACCAACAGGATGCTCAACAGTGCAGCTCTCATAGGTTTTCTTGTGTTCCAGTAGTACCGTGAACAGGAAGCCATTCGCCTCTGTTTGAAGCACTTTCGCCAACACAACTACACGGAGGCGTTCGAGTCCCTGCAGAAGAAAACCAAGATTGCCCTGGAACACCCCATGCTGACGGACCTCCATGAGAAACTGGTCTTGAAGGGAGACTTCAATGCGTGTGAAGAGTTAATAGAAAAAGCTGTCAACGGTAAGTTCGCCAAGGGTTGGGTCAGAACTGCCATCGAGATGAGTGTAACTCTTGTCCCGCCAGTTGGCCATAGTAAGTTGGCTGTGGCAAGTTGGCCGTGGTAACTTGGCTATGGTGAGTTGGCTGTGGCGAGTTGGCCGTGGCCAGTTGGCTGTGGTGAGTTGGCCGCAGCGAGTTTGCCGTGGTGAGTTGACCGTGGCCAGTTGGCTGTGATGAGTTTGCCGTGGTGAGTTGACCATGGTGAGTTGGTCGCTGTGAGTTGACTGTGGCGAGTTGGCCGCTGTGAGTTTGCCGTGGTGAGTTGACCATGGTGAGTTGACCGTGTGAGTTTGCCATGGTGAGTTGACCATGGTGAGTTGGCCATAGTGAGTTGGCCGCTGTGAGTTGGCCACTGTGAGTTTGCTGTGGTGAGTTTGCCGTGGTGAGTTGACCACGGTGAGTTGACTGTGTGAGTTTGCCATGGTGAGTTGACCACGGTGAGTTGGCCATAGTGAGTTGGCCATAGTGAGTTGGCCACTGTGAGTTTGCCGTGGTGAGTTGACCACGGTGAGTTGACCGTGTGAGTTTGCCGTGGTGAGTTGACCATGGTGAGTTGGCCATAGTGAGTTGGCCGCTGTGAGTTTGCCGTGGTGAGTTTGCCGTGGTGAGTTGACCATGGTGAGTTGACCATGGTGAGTTGGCCATGGTGAGTTGACCGTGGTGAGCTTGACCGTGGTGAGCTTGCCATGGTGAGTTGACCGTGGTGAGTTGGCCGTGGTGAGTTGGCCATAGTGAGTTGGCCATAGTGAGTTGGTTGCTGTGAGTTTGCCGTGGTGAGTTTGCCGTGGTGAGTTGACCATGGTGAGTTGGCCATGGTGAGTTGACCGTGGTGAATTTGCCGCGGTGAGGTGACCGTGGTGAGTTGGTCATGGTACGTTGGTACGACGAGTTGTCATAGACCCACCCCAAGGCCACGGGCTTAGGAATGGGATACAAAGGCTCACCATTTAACCCATCTTTCCAGGGGTAGTTACCAAAACAACTTCTTTGGATGCGACTGGACAATCGGGAGACAACGGGGATGGAACAAAAATGGGAAAATTAACTGGGCCACCTTCAGGCGCAAGACCTCTGTTCTAGCTTGGCTTAATGTAGCCGTTTGGCTTTTCGTAAAAGCAATTTTTTTTGCCACAAATGGAGTCAAGAGGTTTTTTTTTCCTAGAAGACCAAGTTGGGGCAGGGCTGACAGCTTGGGAAGAAGGCCAGAGGCATTTCTGACCATCTCGTTAGGGAGCTGGTGAATTCGTGGTTGTTGTTTTTTAAGCTCCAAAAATGTCGGGAATGTTACGATCCTGTGGAGATAATTCTGGGAATTGCAACCTCAGGGAAATTTGGCGGGGTGAGACTGTTGCGGAAGGCTTCTGCAAGGGATTGCTAGCCTGTGATTTATGTTGTGTCATAACTGCTGGCTTCCTTCTAACTCTTGGCCTTGCGATTGTTTCCAGCACTGTGGGTGGCTGACAAATCCAAACAGAGTGGAAAGCTTTGTGTTTATTTTGTATTAGCTGCTCAGATTGCTAGGGCCGGCCGCGTTGTCGTTTTCGTCACGTGAAAAATTGCCCATGTGTGCGATGTACAGGTGGTCTTCGGCTTCCGATCCCGAGGGAGGCCAAAATTTCCATTGCTAAGCAAGATGGTCGTTAAGGTGAATTTCGCCACCATTTGACCACCTGTTGTTAAGGGAATCATTGCAGTTCTTAACCCGGTTAAGTTCGTCTGGATTCCCCGTTGATGTTGCTGGTCAGAAGACCACAAAAGGAAACCACGTGAGCCCGGGACATGGTGACCGTCATACGTACGAACTGCTTGCTAAATGTTTGAATTTGAATTAGCCAACCTTGGGAGTGCTGCAGCGGCCGTAAGGGTGAAAAAATGGTCATAAGTCGTCTCTTTTCTTTCAGTGCCGTTGTAACTTTGAACGGTCCCTAAATGAATTGTCGTAAGTCGAGGATTGCCTGCAATCTGATGACTTTTGACGTCTTGGCTTCAGTCGGTAGCTTCTGAAGCTGTGTTTGCTCCGGTTGCTATGTGATTTCAAAACAGCTGGCTGTGGAGGTTAAGGGTGGTTTATTAGAGGAAATAGCTATTTTCAGAAACATTTACTGTATTTCCCCGAAAATAAGACCCGGTCTTATATTTTTTTGCCTCCCCCCCACTCACACTAATGCCCATGGCCCTGTTTGCACATGGGAATGCTAGCATGAGAGTGTGTGTGCACGCCCCATTTGTGCATGTGCAAACTGACCGCTAGTATGGTGTACGTGTGTGCGCAGCCCATTTGCGCATGCATGAACAGGCCACTACTGCGGGGTTTGTGTTGGCCCACTTGTGCATGCGCGAACGGGCGCTAGCTGCCACGGGGATGCATGGCCATTCACGCATGTGCACGGCACCAGCGCATGCCACATGCAAGAACACGGGTGCTAGTACTGCGCCCGTGGGCGTGGCCCTGTTTTTGCATGCGTACAACGCAACAGTAATTTGGAAGCTGCTCTCCCCTCCAGGCCGCGAGCCCGGAAAGGTTGGAAAACTCTGATGTACAGTATCTCCATCTTGAGGCCAATCCAGTTTAGATGTTACTGTCAGGGTTCCGACAGATGAGACTCTTCAAAGAAGTTTGAGGCATTGTTTACCTTAAAGAATCTTTATTTGAGAAGCATAGCATTGGCACTAACACAGTCGAAGCCAAAAATTGGATTCCCCTCCCTTGAGCACATAGTATCAGAGCACAATTCCCTCCTCCAGTTAACAGTCATAAATCACATTCTCCTATTAGTTTGAAATGCAAGCTTCCCCTCCAGTTCTCCAGCCCGCCAGTCCTTATCATCTCTTATTTCAATAACCTTGGTTCTCACACTAGGTTCAGTATTGTTATATCTAGCGAAACTCTCACGTACATTCCTCAGCATCATTTAACTCTAACTCTAAGAGTAAAACATAAGAAAAAAAATGGTTGCATCTATTGTCAAAGCAAAAACATCCGATGTTAGCAGCGTTGACAGCTACCTTCCCTGTTTCCTGACCCTGCCCACCTCTTTCTATTCTAAGTGGTGAGGGGGCTAATTTTCACTTAATCCTTTTTCTCTTCCAAGCAACTGAGATGCAAAAGAGAAGAGACCATCCGAGTGATGGATCTCTTTTGGCTTTTGCAAAAGAGATCTGTCAGCATGACTCTGCAGAAAGATCGGATCTTAACCGCTGATGCTTTCCTGGAAACCCAAATGGATTTTCATTCCTTTGCAGATTTTTTTTCTCTCTTTTCTCTTAAGGGGAGAAAATGTTTGAATTCATTTGCTTAAAATATTTTTTATTTTTCATGCCAATCCACTGTTCAGTGCGGACCTCTCTTCTGGCTGTTTTTCCCCTTAACTTTGTTAATATGCACGTCTGGTTTTTAATTCTTAATTTTTAGACTCTGTTATGACTTGCCATCGCTGCTGCGTCTACCCAGTACGATGAACTAGAATTTCTGGGCAGAATAAGCATGCTATAAATACAGGGAGCCCTCGACTTACAACACAGCTCCTTTAGTGACGGCACTGGGAAAAAATTGACTCGTGACCATTTTTCATGCTTAATCGCCATTGCTGCACCCCCGGGGTCACGTGATGGAAATTCAGACGCTCGGCAACTGGTTTGTATTTACGACGGTTGCACTGTCCCGTGTGTGTGTGTGTGTATGTGTCATGTGACCCCCTTTTGCGATCTTCTAACCAACAAAGTCAATGGGGGGAAGCCAGCTTCACTTAACAACTGTTGTTACCCACTTAACCAGTGCAGTGGATCACGTGACCCCGGAACACTGCGACTGTCGTAAATAGGAACCCGTTTCCAAGCATCTTGAATGCAAATCAAGTGACCCTGGGAATGTGCAACGGCCATAAGTGTGAAAAACGGTCACAAGTCGCTTTTTTCAATGCCGTTGTAACGGTCGCTAAACCAGTGGTTCTCAACCTGTAGGTTGGGACCCCATTTGGGGTCGAACGACCATTTCACGGGGGTCGCCAAACAATGCAGTCCGCCATTTTTTTCCCCTTTTCCTTAGCTGTGCTACTCCCTTTTATTCTATTGGCTTTTGAAAGCCAGTAGAATAGACTCTCTAGAATAGAGTCTAATTCTATTGGCTTTCAAAAGCCAATAGGAATTGTCCAGGCTGTCTCTGCCCTGCTGAGCCCACCAAAAGTCCCAGTCTGCAAATAGTGCTGCACCAGTTGAGTAGTCCTCGACTTACGACTGGTTGGGGGGTCGCGGCATTTAAAAGGTTGAGAACCACTGCGCTAAAGGAACTGTTTCCAGTCGTATGTTTTGGTTGATTGAAACATTTCTTCTTTCTGCTTGTTAAGCTGCTCTCTTTTTTCTCGTGCCTTATTTCTGGGCTCTGAGATTTATGACTTGAGGCAGAATAATTCCACAGAAAAGTGGGAAGAAGTTTACTTAACCAACCAGAAAAGGCTGTAGTCCTCTTGTTTTTGTCTCATTTGGCACATGAAAAATTGGGAATACATCCTATTAAATTGCTGTAGAGTTTCCTTCAGCACTGGAAGCAAGGAGTTTTATTTATTCATTTATTTATTTGAGATTGTTCTCCTCCTTTCTTAATCTTCCGATACCTAGGGAAGGGAGATTTAAGGGGAAGAGGGTTAAGGATCTGGGTTTGTTTTCCAGGATGCGGTTTGCAGACGTCCCATGTTTTGGATGGTGGAGTGAGTGGTGTACGTTGAATGTAAACGTCTGTCACGGATTGATGTTGGATCGAAGACGTGGTCCGTACCGTATTTCAAAAAATGTGATTTTAGCGAATCGTCCAAAGCTGTGGGGTCCTTGGTGGTTTATGAGCTTGGTGGTTTTCTTGGGGACATTTCATTACCAAACTAGGTTAACATCATCAGTGCTAGAAGGGAGTGGGGATTGTGGAGGAGGAGGAGGAGGAGGAGGAGGAGGAGGAGGAGGAGGAGGAGGAGGAGGAGGAGGAGAGGAGGGAAAAGACTGTGGGTCCTTAGTGGTCTCTGAGCTTGGTTGTTTTCTTGCAGACATTTCATTACCCAACTAGGTAATGTCATCAGTGCTAAAAGGGAGAGGAGTTTACACAGAGGAGGAGGAGGAGGAGGGGGAGGAGGAGGAGGAGGAGGGGTAGGAGGAGGAGGAGGAGGAGGAGGAGGAGGAGGAGGAGGAGGAGGAGGAGGAGGAGGAGGAGGAGGAGGAGGAGGAGGAGGGAAAAGACTGTGGGTCCTTAGTGGTCTCTGAGCTTGGTTGTTTTCTTGCAGACATTTCATTACCCAACTAGGTAATGTCATCAGTGCTAAAAGGGAGAGGAGTTTACACAGAGGAGGAGGAGGAGGAGGGGGAGGAGGAGGAGGAGGAGGGGGAGGAGGAGGAGGAGGAGGAGAGAAAAGACTGTGGGTGCTTAGTGGTCTCTCAGCTTAGTTTTTTTTTTGCAGACATTTCATTACCCAACTAGGTAACATCATCAGTGCTAGAAGGGAGTGAGGAGTTTACAGAGAGGAGGAGGAGGAGGAGGAGGAGGAGGATAATGACTGTGGGTCCTTGATACACTCTGAGCTTGGTGGTTTTGTTGGAGACCTTTCTTTACCAAACTAGGTTGTTACCTACTGTCAACTGTGCTAGCACATCCTGTCACTGATGATGTTACCTAGTTCGGTAATGAAACGTCTGCTAAAAAACCACCAAGCTCAGAGCGCATCAAGGACCCACAATCATTTTCCTCCTCCTCCTCCTCCTCCTCCTCCTCCTCCTCCTCCTCCTCCTCCTCCTCCTCCTCCTCCTCCTCCTCCTCCTCCTCCTCCTCCTCCACTTCACAAGGACTCCACAGTTCAACCCTGAGCTAGGAATATTGTCTTCTATCGGAGTCTTACTTCCCAGGAGATCTGCCTACATGCAGACTTTATCTGAGTCATCTCTTTGACCCGTTTCTTCAATCACCTCATCTTTCCCCCCCCCACGTAGCGGATGCCAAGAGTTTTCCTACTTGCTGGATAAGCGCTTTGTCTTAAAACTATACACAACTATGTTCCTAGGTTGTTTTTTTTTTAAATTTAATAACAGCCTCCCTCACTTGCCTTTTCCTCAGATTCTCCATCTCACTCTGTACGTAGTGGCTGTGCCCGTTAACCCCTTGTTTTTCCCGCCGTTTCACAAAGCGTTCGAAACCGGCCTTCCGGTGAGTTCTGCGAGGGGAGGCACATGGCCGCTGACTCTTTCTTTTTCCTTTTACAACAGATGGCTTGTTCAACCAGTACATCAGTCAACAGGAGTACAAGCCGCGATGGGGTCAGATAATTCCCAAAAGCACCAAAGGTAACCGTATTGAAACCTGGTTTGTGGTGAGCCCTTTCGCGAAAGATAGTGCTTCAACTTGCAGGGATATTTTTATTTATTTTAGGTAGAAAATTTGTATTGCCACCTACTCACACATGTTGCAGGCAGTCCTTGGTTTATAACACTCATTGAGCCCAAAAATTTCCGTGGCTAAGCGAGACAGTTGTGAGTGTTGCCCCATTTTATGACCTTTCTTCCACAGTTGTTAAGTGAATCACGGCAAGTTACACGGTTGTAACGAGAATTTGGCTTCCCCGTCGACTTTGCTGGTCGGAAGGTCACACACAAGGGGATCACGTGACCCTGGGACACTGCGACCGTCATAAGTATGAAAGAGTTGTCAAGCATCCGAATTGTGATCACATATGACCACAGGGATGCTGCGACGGTCGTAAGTGGAAGGCCCCCCCCCCGAAGTCATAATTCACTTTTTTTAGTGCCATTGTGATTTTGAATGGCCATTAAATGAATGGTTGCAAGTTAAGGACTATCTATAGTCCTTTGAAATCTGTGGGGGGGGGGAAAGCCACCCAGAATCGCCTTAGATAAGATGGCCAACCATATACAGTTAGTGCCAACATCCAGCTCGCGAATCCAATAGATGATAGATAGATACATAGATAATATAGATAGATTAGAGAGAGAGATTTAAATAGATGATAGATAGATAGATAGATAGACAGACAGACAGACAGACAGACAGACAGAGATGGATAGATAGATAGATAGATAGATAGATAGATAGATAGATAGATAGATAGATAGATAGATAGATAGGAGAGAGATTTAAATAGATGATAGATATGAATGATAGATAGATAGATAGATAGATAGATAGATAGATAGATAGATAGATAGATAGATAGATAGATAGATAGACAGACAGATAGACAGACAGACAGAGGTAGGTAGGTAGGTAGATAGAAAGACAGACATATAGATAGATACAGAGAGGTAGGTAGGTAGGTAGGTAGATAGATGATAGATATGGATGATAGACAGGCAGGCAGGCAGGCAGATAGGCAGGCAGGCAGAGACAGACAGACAGACATAGAGAGATAGGCATGTAAGTAGGTAGGTAGATATATAGATAGCTGGGTGACTGCCTCCTTAAAGCAGGGGATAAGATTAAGATATAATTTCCATTCATTTGGGGGGGGGTGACACTCAGGGAGGCGTTGTGCCAGTTGTGTTTTGCAGAGCAGTTCTGTGGCTTTAGAATCAGTGGCCCAGAGAGGCCTAGACAACGTCTTTGTGTTATTGGAAGTGACTGAATGAATCATTGGCTGTTTTAGCTCAGTCTTGTTAGATTTGACAGGCCCCAGCTCTCCAGAGCTCTGAGCTTAGAAGCCTTTCTACTTCAGCTAACCATGCCCAGTTCTCTTCGGCCGATGCATTTTTTTTTCTCCTTACGACAACCAGTACTGTTCCAGTGAAGGAGAATATTTGTAGCTTGCTTGTTTTCTTGCAGACGTTTCATGACTCAACTAGGTAACATCATCAGTGCTGGAAGGGAGTGGGGTTTGGGAGGAGCAGAGGAGGAGGAGGAAGGGGGAGGAGGATGAGGAGTCTTCCCTCTCCTCCTCCTCTCATCCCCCCCAAACCCCACTCCCTTCTAGCACTGATGATGTTACCTAGATGGGTCATGAAACGTCTGCAAGAAAATAAGCAAGCTCGGGGAGCACCCAGGACCCCTCAAACCAATACTGTGTCTTTTTCCAGGAATGACTCACAGGCAGTCCTCAGCTTACAGCTACAATTGAACTCAAAGTTTTCCTCATTAAGCGAGACAGCTCTTAAGTGAGCTTTGCCCCATGTTAGCACCTTAACCAAGTCACCGCAGTCGTTAAGATACTCCCACGGGTTGTTCCGTGAATCTGGCTTCCCCACTGACTTTTCTCGTCAGAAGGTCACAAAAGGAGATCATGTGACTGCAGCGGTCATAAGTGTGAATCAGTGGCCAAGTGTCTGAACTTCGATCAGGCGACACCCCCCCCCCAGGATGCTGCAACGGTTGTAAGTGCGAAAAACGCTCGTAAGCCGCTTTTTTTCCACTGCTGTTGTAACTTTAAACGAATTATTGTAAATCAAGGACTGCCTGTATTCCAAGGTTTTTTCCCTTAATGCAGCTGAATTGGGGGGAGGGGGGGAAGAGGAGGAAGGGCAGAGGAACCCACGAATGATGGACTGTTGTTTTCTTTTGTCTGATGCAAACAAGGTGATGGTGAGGATAGCAGGCCTGGAATGAGAGGAGGGCATCAAATGGTCATTGATGTTCAAACAGGTGAGCTTTTTTTATTTATCTTGTGTTTTTTTCTGTTTAGCACAATGTTTCTCAACCTTGACCATTTTAAGGCATGTGGACTTCAACTCCCAGAATTCCACAGCCAGCGTTGCTGGCTGTGGAATTCTGGGAGTTGAAGTCCACATGCCTTAAAATGGTCAAGGTTGAGAAACACTGGTTTAGCAGGAGACTCGAGTTCAACGTCTACTCTCAGCCACAAAAGAATTGATTGCTTGGCTTTGAGTCAGTCACCAAGTTTCAGCCGAAACCATCCTACAGGAAGTCTTTAGAGCAGGGGTAGGCAACCTTGGCTCTTTTATGACTGGTGGACTTCAACTCCCAGAATTCCTCAGCCAGCCATGCTGAGGGGAAAGGGAGAGGTTTCTATGCTGAGCCATGCTGGCTCAGGAATTCTGGGAGTTGAAGTCCACGCCTCATAAAAGAGCCAAGGTTGCCTATGCCTGGTCTAGGTGGCTCATCGCTTAGAACAGCAGGACTTAGGACAGGGGTAGGCAACCTCGGCTCTTTTATAACTCATGGACTTCAACTCCCAGAATTCCTCAGCCTGCATGGGGAAAACTTTGGCCCCTTCAAGACTCGTGGACTTCAACTCCCAGAATTCCTGAGCCAGCCATGCTGAGGGGAAAGGGAGAGGTTTCCAAGCTGAGCCAGGCTGACTCAGGAATTCTGGGAGTTGAAGTCCACCAGGCATAAAAGAGCCAAGGTTGCCTACCCCTGCTCTAGGAGGCTAACCACTTCGAACAGGAGGACTTAGGACAGGGGTAGGCAACCTTGGCTCTTTTAAGACTGGTGGACTTCAACTCCCAGAATTCCTGAGCCAGCACGGGGGAACTATGGCCCCCTTTATGACTGGTGGACTTCAACTCCCAGAATTCCTGAGGCAGCATGGCTCAGCTTGGAAACCTCCCTTTCCCCTCAGCATGGCTGGCTCAGGACTTCTGGGAGTTGAAGTCCACGAGTCATAAAAGAGCCAAGGTTGCCTACCCCTGGTCTAGAGATTCTCAGTCATCCAGGTCTTGGTTGTTTTTCAGGAGGCAACTGGACTTGTTTTTCTTTGAAGACGTTTCGCTTCTCATCTGAGAAGGTTCTTCAACTCTGACTGGATGGTGGGGAACGGAAGGATTTACACTCCTTGCAGACAGCTGGTCATTTGCCTTTTAAGGAGTCGTTGAGGCCACTTGGAGGTTTATCCGTGTCCTCAGGACCCTGTGGACACAAATAAACCTCCAAATAACCTCAGCGACCCTCTAAAACGGGTGTCAAACTGCCGGCCCACAGGCCGGATGCGTCAGGCCGACACGGTGCCCACCCCAGCTCCGTCAGTGGGGAAAAAGTTGCGATACGTTGTGATACGTCACGTGATGTGGCGAGTTTGACACTCCTGCTCTAAAAGAATACAAATGACCGGCTGTCTGCAGCTGGAGGTGCAAATGGGTGTGGAGCCTTCTTCGCTGCAGGATGTTTTCTGCCCTGTGTTTGGGATGGACACCCTTCGAACGGCAAAGAAATATGAATGGATTTTCCAGAAAACATTGCTACAGGAACGATTTGCGCTTCAGTTGGAGATGCAGGCAACACGGATTCATCCCCATCAGCCTGTGCCTGTCTCCAACTGTGAAGGCACCCAGGGCAGGGTCATAGTTCCCTCACGCTGGCTGAGGAATTCTGGGAGTTGAAGCCCACAAGTCATAAAAGGGACATAGTTCCCTCACGCTGGCTGAGGAATTCTGGGAGTTGAAGTCCACAAGTCATAAAAGGGTCATAGTTCCCTCACGCTGGCTGAGGAATTCTGGGAGTTGAAGTCCACAAGTCATAAAAGGGACATAGTTCCCTCACGCTGGCTGAGGGATTCTGGGAGTTGAAGCCCACAAGTCATAAAAGGGACATAGTTCCCTCATGCTGGCTGAGGAATTCTGGGAGTTGAAGTCCACAAGTCATAAAAGGGTCATAGTTCCCTCAACGCTGGCTGAGGAATTCTGGGAGTTGAAGTCCACAAGTCATAAAAGGGTCATAGTTCCCTCACGCTGGCTGAGGGATTCTGGGAGTTGAAGCCCACAAGTCATAAAAGGGACATAGTTCCCTCATGCTGGCTGAGGAATTCTGGGAGTTGAAGCCCACAAGTCATAAAAGGGTCATAGTTCCCTCACGCTGGCTGAGGAATTCTGGGAGTTGAAGTCCACAAGTCATAAAAGGGTCATAGTTCCCTCACGCTGGCTGAGGAATTCTGGGAGTTGAAGCCCACAAGTCATAAAAGGGACATAGTTCCCTCACGCTGGCTGAGGAATTCTGGGAGTTGAAGCCCACAAGTCATAAAAGGGTCATAGTTCCCTCACGCTGGCTGAGGAATTCTGGGAGTTGAAGTCCACAAGTCATAAAAGGGTCATAGTTCCCTCACGCTGGCTGAGGGATTCTGGGAGTTGAAGCCCACAAGTCATAAAAGGGACATAGTTCCCTCATGCTGGCTGAGGAATTCTGGGAGTTGAAGTCCACAAGTCATAAAAGGGTCATAGTTCCCTCACGCTGGCTGAGGAATTCTGGGAGTTGAAGTCCACAAGTCATAAAAGGGCCAAGTTTGAAGACCCCTGCTGTTGGGGATGAGTCTGTGTCATCTGCATCTCAAACTGAAGCGCAAATGGTTCAGTTTGAGATGCAGACAACACGAACCAATACCCAACCGCCTGCACCCATCTTCAACTGTGAAGGGATCCAGGGCAGAAAAACATCCTGCAGCCAAAAAGCCTCCACACTCATTTGCACCAGTCAGGTGGCCCTGAGGACACAGACAAACCTCCCAGTGCCCTCAACGACTCTCTAAAAAGATGCAAAGGGCCAGCTGTCTGCAAGGACTATAAATCCTTCCATTCCCCACCCTCCAGTCAGAGCTGAAGAAGCCTCTGGGATGAGAAGCGAAACGCCTTCAAAGAAAAACAAGAAAGTCGAGTTACCTCTTGGAAAAGCACCTCTGGGACATCGTACAGGAATTTTATTAAATAAATAAATAAATAAATAAATAAATAAATAAATAAATAAAAAAAACAGAATAAAACAAATAAACAGGAAATATTGTTGACTCAAGAGTGGGAGTCTTGAAACTTGGATGTTCCCTTTCCCCAATAGTAAAAATAATATTGCATAATCAATAGTCAAAAGCAGATTTAACCGTAGGTAGCTTTTCGCTTAAGGCAGTGGTTCTCAACCTGTGGGGTCGGGATCCCATTTGGGGTCGAACGACCATTTCACGGGGGTCGCCAAACAACGCAATCCGCCATTTTTCCCCCTTTTCCTTAGCTGTGCTCCTCCCTTTTATTCTATTGGCTTTTGAAAGCCAATAGAATAGACTCTCTTGAATAGAGTCTAATTCTATTGGCTTTCCAATAGGAAAGCCAATAGGAATTGTCCAGGCTGTCTCTGCCCTGCTGAGCCCGCCAAAAGTCCCAGTCTGCAAACGGTGCTGCACCAGTTGAGTAGTCCTCGACTTACGACCGGTTGAGTAGTCCTCGACTTACGACCGGTTGGGGGTCGCGGCATTAAAAAGGTTGAGAACCACTGGCTTAAGGGGACGTGATGGCTCAGCACTTAAAGTTGCTGAGTTTGGCAGCTGGGAAGCCGGCAGGCCAGGTTCGAGACACGGGCACGGCACGATGGAGTGAACTTCCGTTCCTTGCCCCAGCTCCTGCCCATCTAGCAGATCGAAAGCAGGGAAATGTGAGTAGGTAAATAGATACCACTTCAATGGGGAAGAAACAATGTCTCGTGCGCCTTGGTGTATTGTCATGCTGGTCGCTTGACCATGGAAAAGGTCTTCAGACAACGCTGGCTCCCTCAGCTAAGAAACAGGGATGAGAATGGAATGGGATGGAATAAGAATAGAATAGAATAGAAAATAGAATAAATAGGATAGAATAGAATAGAAAATATGGAATGGAATGGAATAGAATAGAATAGAATAGAAAATATGGAATGGAATGGAATAGAATAGAAAATATGGAATGGAATGGAATAAATAGAATGGAATGGAATGGAATAGAATAGAATAGAAAATATGGAATAGAATAGAATAGAAAATATGGAATGGAATAGAATAGAATAAAATAGAATAAAATAGAATAGAATAGAATAGAAAATATGGAATGGAATGAGATAGAGAATGGAATAGAATAGAATAAAATAGAAAATATGGAATAGAATGGAATGGAATAGAATAGAATAAAATAGAATAGAATAGAAAATATGGAATGGAATGGAATGGAATAGAATAGAATAGAATAGAATAGAATAGGTGGAGTGGAGTAGAGTGGACTGGACTGGAATAGAATAGAATAGAATAGAATAGAATAGAATAGAATAGAATAGAATAGAATAGAATAGGACCTTGGAGGTCTTCTAGTCCAGCCCCCGCATGAGCAGGAGAACCTATACCATCTCAGACAAATGACTGTCCAGTCTCTTCTTAAAAATCTCTTATTTATGTTATGATTGTGTAGAGGGATTAAATTGTTGTACCCCATCGGCATTATTTCAGTAGGTGCTGATGCAGTTGGAAAGCACCTCCTAGTGGATAAAAAGTGTGATAGGAGCTGAGATTTTACTTGAGAATTCTAAAATGATGAGATTGCAACATGAGAAATATGATAGGAAATAACACCCCTCCAGACTTGCTTCAGGGCAGATTTTTCTAGAACAGCTGTAGAATCTTTTTCATCCAACGATTAGAGGTTCCAAATATTAGTTTTCAGAGTTAAAGGCTGCAGAAACATGCTGATGCAGAGTCCTCAACTGGCAAACGTTCATTTAGCAATCCTTCCAAGTTACCACAGCATGCAATAAAGTAGAATAGAGTAGAGTAGAGTAGAATTGAATAGAATAGAATAGAACTGGAAGGGACCTTGGAGGTCTTCTAGTCCAGCCCCCTGCTCAAGCAGGAGAACCTATACCATCTCAGACCAGTGACTGTCTAGCCTTTTGTTAAAAACCTCCAGTGATGGAGCGCCCACGATTTCTGGAGGCAAGCTGTCCCACTGGTTAATTGTCCTCACTGTCAGGAAGTTTCTCCTTAATTCCAGGTTGCTTCTCTCTTTGCTCTCTTTTCCAACCATTGTTTCTTGTCCTTCCCTCTGGTGCTTTGGAGAATAATATGACCCCCTCTGCCTTGTGGCAGCCCCTCAGATACTGGAACACTGTTATCGTGTCTCCCCTATTTCTTTTTTTCTTTAGACTAGCCAAACCCAAGTCCCGCAGCCCTTCTTCATATGTTTTAGTCTCCAGGCCTTGGATCATCTTAGTTGCTCTTCTCTGAACTTTTTCCAAACTCTCAACATCTTTTTTGTGATATGGTGACCACAATTGGCTATAGTATTCCAGGTGTGGTCTTACTAGGGTTTTATAAAGCGGTACTAATAACCTCGTGTGATCTTGATTCTATGCCTCTGTTTATACAACCCAGGATTGTATTGGCTTTTTTGGCTGCTGCTGCACCCTGCTGGCTCATGGGCATAAATAACTTATGACTGGTCCTCACTCTTATGACCATTGTAGCATTCCCCACGAGCATGGGATCAAAATCCAGTCTCTTGGCAACCCGCATATATTTAGGGCAGTTACAGCGTCCTGTTCACATGACCCCCATTTGCAACTTCCCCGCCCAGCTTCAACAAGCAAAGTCAATGGGGGGAGCCTGATTCATTTATCGACCCTATGATTCACTTAACGACGGCAAAAAAGGTCGTAAAATCGAGTGCCCCTCCCTTAACAACCACCTGGATTAGCAATGGAAAAACTGGTCCCAATTGAATGGCCGCTAAACGAAACGATGGTTATAAAATCAAGGACTACCTGTAGTCTGTTACGGGGATGACATATGTGAGGAAATTCACGAAGAGAGCTAAAATTTGGATTTTGTTTTTTAAAAAAAATCAAGTCTTCGAGGTAATGGCGCATTATGTTAAACCATAAGACGGTTTGTTTATTGTTGCTGAGCACAGCGTGTAAATCTTAACTCCCAATTGTAGTTCCAGCAAAGCAGCTCTGATTATCCATTGTGCAACTTGCAAGTAACTTGACAAAATTTATCAGCCGCAGTCCTTCACTGCGTCAGCTCAGAAAGAACAGAAAGAAAGAAATTGAAAGCAAAATTATGACTTTCCGTGTTAAAAGAACAAGAAGTTCTTTCTAAGAACGGCAGTTGGGTAACAAACCTGAAAAATTGGAAACTGGAATATAAAAACTAAATGTATGAGGGTACCTAGGGTGGATCTTTTGAGATGTCGTGTTCTGACCTTTTAAAAACATCGATTTTAAGAATGTGAATACATATGGCAAGGGAAGAGGCATTCGAAGAGGCATTTAAACAGGCATTTAAAATAATTCTTTCTTAACAAGAGTGCTTTTGTTCCACGATTCTTAAGTTTGACTAGGGACCAAAAATAACTTTTGGTATTTATAGCACTGTCACTTCCAGAGAACAGCCTCTCCACATCAAATCGGGAGATTGAAAAACGGGGAGTTTTTACAAATTCTGCATTTAGGAAGGCGAGGGACGGAGACTTTCAGCGTGTAATTTCAAAATAAGGGGAGTAACAGACATGCCTGCCTGTCTCCTCTGCCATCTTAAGAGCTTCTGTGTTTACTCTGGAGGATTTTCCTTCTGCCAGCTCCCCATCGGATTAATTCCTGTTTGTGAATGGTGTGCCCTTCCTAGCCCTTTGCAAGATGCTTTTATCTGAGGCCTCATTGGATGTGCGGCATGTGCCCAACCCGTTTCCCCCCTTCCTTGGGTTATCAATTGGTCCATTGTAGTAAATGTGGGTTTTGTAAGCTGTGAGAATTTAGGCACACAAAGAGATGTACTCTTTGCAAAGAACACTGGCTACTCGGTGCCCAGAATAAACAGGGTAATTACAGTTAATGACCCAAGGTAACCTTTTGGTGGTGATGCTGATACTGGCCATTACAGCTGTTGCAAGCAGAGGTTACATCCAGATCGTTCTCTCTTTTTTTAAAATCACATTTCCCCACCCTGGAGCTCTGTTGCATCCTACATCAGTAATTTGGGATGCGTGTTGCTTCACGGCTTTGCTTAGAAAAATAATAATAGAGTTTGGAAGTGACATTGGAGGTCTGTCCCCCACCTGGTCCTTCAGATTCCAACATTGCACACATCGCTACTGCAGCCGAGTCTATCGTGTTCCTGGCAGTTCCCTTCTGTTCTTTCTTCCTACCCTTCTCAATATTAGAGGGATAAAGAATATTCTACATCTTTAGCTACATGTCTCTTCACTTATTGCTTCTAAGTGAAGGATTTCTGACTTGTAGTAGGACAGCTGAAGCAACCTTTCCTTCTTTCAATGATTAAGGGTACTAGATGTATCTAGTCAAACAAAGAGAAAGAATAGAATAGAATAGAATGGAATGGAATGGAATGGAATGGAATAGAATGGAATGGAACAGAATGGAACAGAACGGAACAGAACAGAATAAAATAACAGAGTTAGAAGGGACCTTGGAGGTCATCTAATCCAACCCCCTGCTGAGGCAGGAAACCCTATACCAGACAAATGGCTGTCCAATCTCTTCTTTAAAACTTCCAGTGTTGGAGCATTCACAACTTCTGGAGGCAGATTGTTCCACTGGTTAATTGTTGTAACTGTCAGGAAATTTCTCCTTAGTTCTAGGTTGCTTCTCTCCTTGATTAGTTTCCATCCGTTGCTTCTTATCCTGCCTTCAGGGGCTTTGGAGAGTAGCTTGACTGCCTCTTCTTTGGGGCAGCCCCTGAGATACTGGAACACTGCTATCATGTCGCTCCTAGTCCTTCACTCCACTCCTAGTCCTCACACAATGCAGCCTCACACAATCATCTTTTGAGTCCTGGTTGAGCAGAAAGTCCCTTCGGAGTTAACGTGGAAATGTCAAACCAAGGGTGTTTTAAATTTCTGAAAAAAAAAAAAAAAAGTTCTGCCTTGGTATAAGTAAGCTTTCTGACCGTGGCCCCACACGTCACAGACTAATATCTTTTTCTAATGTTTTGATCAGAAACAGTTTATCTGTTCGGCGGCTGGGATGGGACGCAAGACCTGGCTGACTTCTGGGCATATAGTGTGAAGGAAAATCAGTGGACGTGTATATCCAGAGACACTGAAAAAGAGGCAAGTGTGTCTTTGTCTCCCGAGCAGCGCGCAGCGTAATCCAAGCCGGGTGTTGGCCCAAATAACACACTTGTGAGCAAGCCCCGAGGTCACCCTCTCACATTCTCCTTCTCGGGCATTTTGAGAGACTACAAAGTCACGTCCCCTTTTTTCCGTCTTCTCTCCTCCTCCTCCTCTTTCATAATAGTGGATGGAAAAGTTGGCTGTTCCGTTGCTGAAAAATAAACAAAAGATGCTTTGGCAGAACAGAATGAAGCAAGGGAAAAAAACAACAACTCATGTTTAATAGAAGTTTTGGAACCTATTGGAGAGTTGGGTCCTGCAAACTGCTGGGCTTCATCAAATATCTATGCACAGAAAGCACTAAATTAAATCCTTCGGTACGGTAGCTGGCAAGGATCTGGAGGTCTAGGAATTGGGAAGGATTTAAAATGGGCTTTCCTTGAGTAGCACCTTCAGTTCAATTCTCCTGACTTCACGAACTTCAAAACTTGCATCTTGCTGGCCTTAACTGTACTACCTGTAGAACCAAACATTGCTAATTAGTGCTTTAAAGGCTTAAAAATGCTATGTTACCACTGTGTATTACAGATGCACAGATGCAGATACGCAACATTTTGAGCCCCAGATTTCCATTGCAAAGCCACACAGTTGTTAGATGAATTTTGCCCCATTTGGTGACCTTTCTTGCCACAGTTGTGAAATCACCGCCGTTGTTAAAATGGTTCCCAAGGCTTTTAAGTGAATCTGACTTCCCCATTGACTTCAAAGTTAGAACAGCCCTGGAAAATGTGACTTATGACCGTTTTTTTACAGTTACGACCTTTGTAGCATCCCCACGGTCACGTGGTCAAAATTCAGAGGCTCGGCAACTGGCATGTACTTGTGACGGTTGCTGTTCCCAAGGTCATGTGTTCATCTGTTGCGACCTTCTGACAAGCAAAGTCAATGGGCAAGCCAGATTGACTTAACCGCGGGGTTACTAACGTATCAACTGCGGTGATTCGGTTAGCAACTGTGGCAAGAAAGGTCAAAAAATGTGTTCTGTCCCAGCCTATGTGAGTCCTTGTTATGCTCACAAGGAGAAACCCCTCTTCCACAAAAGAGGCAGGGACCACAAGAAAAAACCCAACCCCTTTTATTCTCAGAGATCTGAGTCAACGTCCAACAGACACAGTTCACAGAAACTCGATCCTCAACACGAACGGTTGCCTTCGGCCACAAACACCTCCCACACCTTCCCTTTTATAATTCAGCCAAGGTGTGGCTTCCTAATGCCTTCTCCTTTGCCTTTGGAGCCGCCCCATTGCATTCCTCTGTCCTACTCGCTTCTCTTGCCTGAGCATTCGTGCATCCGGGATTTGTCCCAGCTGTTCTTCATCACTGTCCAACTCAGGCTCCCAGCACAGCTGTGTCTCAGTCTGAGCGCGAATAGAGGGGCCAGGCTCCTCGTCCGACTGTAAGCCTTGGAGCTCCTCAGAGCCTTCCTCTGACTCTGATGTCACTCCAGGCCCCTCCTCCTCCTCCTCCGATTCCTCAGCTGCCGGGTCCACTGGCTGGTGAGGAATCACAACAAAGTGGTGCAAAACTCATTTAACAGCTGTCTCGCTTAACAGTGGACATTTTGGGCTCAATTGTCGTAAGTCAAGGACCATACAAGAACCCCAGGTCCTCTTCATGAGTATTTCACAGAGGGAAGACAGCTTAATCCCACGCTCTCTGCAGTCCCAAGCCTGGTCTTTCCGTGAACCAGCCTAACCCGTTTCCCATCTTTTTTTTTATAACTTAATTTTTTATAATTAATTTTCCAATGTTACAATTATATCTTTGAAAAGCAACGTGGTGTCCGAGTTACAATAATTCCATTACATACGGGTGTTATTAATACAAATCTCCAACTATTACAGCCAATATTTCCTCTTTTTTCCCTTAATACATACTGTCTCTCGTTTAAATTAGTCTACTTCTTATTCTACCCCTCAGCCACTTACTAGCATTCTTACATTTATCAATGATGTTATATTTGTTTTAACATTCCATCTTTTGGACCATCAATAACCTTATGGATTTTCCCAGCTTTAATTTTGCGTTGATTTTTAAATTAAACGTTTTAAGATAGATCGTTTCCCATCCTTTCTGCTCTCCAGAACGGTCCGACTGCTCGGTCCTGTCACAAGATGTGCATCGACATCCAACGAAGGCAGATCTACACCTTGGGACGTTACCTGGATTCCTCTGTGAGGAACAGCAAATCTCTGAAAAGCGACTTCTACCGCTACGACATCGACACCAACACCTGGATGTTGCTGAGCGAAGATACGGCCGCCGATGGAGGCCCCAAGCTTGTGTTCGACCACCAGGTCAGTGCGATTCACACCCTAAGATTAAGAGAATTCGGAACCTTTGGTCAGTCAGTATTTGTATTCGTCATTCAAGGCTGGCAAAATCCAGGGTTGCAGTGAGGCTGTGTGCAAGAGGGATTATTCTGGATTGTAGGCGGTTGCTCTGGCCATAATCCAGATAGAATAACTCGACGGAATGGTAACATGCAGAATATTTATTGATCAGGAATTCTGAGCAGTAACTCACAGTTCTTGAAGATACATCTGTATGATTCATATTCATTCCATTCACGCAGGTAAAAAGAGAATAATTTTCCTCCATCTTCATAAATCTCACATGCTGCTACGTGGCTAGGATTCATGGAGGAGAGATAATAAAACATGGCACGTAACAGGATGTCCCGTAATAAAGACACAAGACCCTCCCAGTGGCCAATTAGAACACAGATATAACCATGTAACAACTAAACTACATTTCCCAGAAGGCCACCCTTAAGAGGGCATCATTTTAACCTTTAAAATGCTACTTGCTCTACACCAGTGGTTCTCAACCTTTCTAATGCCGTGACCCCATAATACAGTTCCCCATGTTGTGGTGACCCCCAAGTGGGTGTGGCCACCAATAAGAGGGAGTAGGACAGCTAGGGAAAAGGGAAAAAAATGGCGGACAGCATGGTTTGGCGACCCCCATGAAATGGTCGTTTGACCCCAAATGGGGTCCCGACCCACAGGTTGAGAACCACTGCTCTACACACAGTTTCCTAAGCTAGCTAGGAACCAGTACAGGGATCTTGGAGTCACTTAAATAGGAGCCAGCCGTGGGCTGCAGCTGCCAAAAAAGCCAACGCAGTGGTAGGCTGCATTAACAGAGGGATAAAATCAAAGTCATATGAAGTGTTAATACCATTTTACAATGCCTTGGTAAGGCCACGCTTGGAATACTGCATCCAGTTTTGGTAGCCACAATATAAAAAAAGATGCTGAGACTCTAGAAAGGGTGCAGAGAAGAGCAACAAAATGATTAGGAGACTGGAGGCTAAAACACATGAAGAACAGTTGCATGAATTGGGCATGTCTAGTTTAATGAAGAGAAGGACTAAGGGTGACATGATTGCAGTGTTACTATATCTAAGGGACTGCCCCAAAGAAGAGGGAGTCAAGCTATTCTCCAAAGCACCTGAAGGCAGGACAAGAAGCAACAGATGGAAACTCATCAAGGAGAGAAGCAACCTAGAACTAAGGAGAAACTTTCTGACAGTTAGAACAATTAATCAGTGGAACAACCTGCCTCCAGAAGTTGTGGATGCTCCAATACTGGAAGTTTTAAAAAAGAGACTGGACAGCCATTTGTCCAAAATGGTATAGGGTTTCCTGCCTGAGCAGGGGGTTGGACTAGATGACCTCTAAGGCCGCTTTTAACTCTGCTATTATGTTAAAAGACCAACTTGATCTAATGTAGAATCAGAAGTAGAAGACACAACAGGAAACGGGAAGGTGGAATCAGTGGGGAGTGTTTATATTTGATATAATTAGATTTTTTTTTCATCACAGCGGGCAGGTTTTGCTTCTTTTTTTTTACAAAAAGAATTACAGTTTCCATCCAGAAAAAGAGTTTTCTTTTTCTCTTCTTCGCTTTCTGAGAGATCTATCCGACCACTTTTTTTTTTTTTAAGCTGAGGTTTAAATCAGATTGATGTCCCTGGGAGAAAATGTGGTGAAGTCAAAATATTAAAAGCTTGACAAGAAAGAGTGGGCTGAAAAGAGGAAACTGTAAAAGGACCTTTGAACAGAGGGAAGGAAAAAAGTTCAAAGAATATAAAGAAAAATGCATAGAGAAAAGTTAGCGTATGTTTGCGTTTATGTATGTAAGAAAACAGATGGGAAAGAAGAGTTTAAAAAAATAAAATGTCGATAACTCTTTTTCTCAACCTTGGCAAATTTAAGACCTGTGGACTTCAACACCCAGAGAGGTGGGGGATTCTGGGAGTTGAAGTCCACAAGTCTTAAAGTTGTCAAGGTTTGGACCCAAGCCCTGATTTAAAGATATATCTATCTGTCTGTCTGTCTTATCTACCTACCTACCTCCTACCTACCTACCGACCGACCTACCTACCTACCTACCTACCTACCTACCTACCTATATCTATCTCAATCTCTACCTATATTTATCATCTGTGTCTGTCTGTCTGTGTATCTACCTACCTACTTACCTACCTACCTACCTACCTACCTATATCTATCTCAATCTCTACCTATATTTATTGTCTGTCTGTCTGTCTGTGTCTTTCTGTCTGTCTGTCTCTCTCTATCTCTCTATCTCTATCTCAACCTATATTTATCGTCTGTCTGTCTGTCTCTCTCTCTGTCTCTCTATCTATCTATCTATCTATCTATCTATCTATCTATCTATCTCAATCTCTACCTATATTTATCATCTGCCTGTCTCCTATCTATCTATCTATCTATCTATCTATCTATCTATCTATCTATCTACCTACCTACCTACCTACCTACCTACCTACCTACCTACCTACCTACCTACCTACCTATATCTATCTCAATCTCTACCTATATTTATCTGTCTGTCTATCTATCTATCTATCTATCTATCTATCTATCTATCTATCTATCTATCTATCTATCTAAATCTCTACCTATATTTATCATCTATCTATCTATCTATCTATCTATCTATCTATCTATCTATCTATCTATCTATCTATCTATCATCTTTCTTTCTATCACCTACTTATCTTGCTCTCTATTTCTCTGTCCACCTCTCTCTCTCGCTCTAAAACCACCACTCTTTTTTTCACGTTACCCTATCACTTGTGTGACTTTTACTGGAAATGCCTTCCATCTGTTGCAGATGTGTATGGATTCAGAGAAACACATGATCTACACCTTCGGGGGTAGGATTTTGACCTGCAACGGCAGTGTGGACGACAGCCGAGCCAGCGAGCCCCAATTCAGCGGCCTCTTTGCTTTTGACTGTCAGTGTCGGCTATGGAAACTCTTGCGAGAAGATTCGTGTAATGCCGGCCCTGAAGACGTCCAATCCAGAATAGGACACTGCATGTTATTCCATTCAGTAAGGACGGTCTTGGGTACTTTGCTTAACGACAGCAGCCGCTTAACGTCCGTAATTCTGGGGCTCTGTTGTGGTTGTACGTTGAGGACTTACCTGTCTTCTAAAACAACCTTTTGGGCACCAAGGACCGGTTCCGCGGAGACAGGTTTTCCCGCAGACCGGAGGTTGCGTGGTTTTGTGTGCTGCCTGCATCCCGCGGATGGGGCTTTGCTTGTTTGTGCGGACCGGTTGCTGGCATGCCACGGCCCGATACCGGTCCATGTTATTGGGGGTTGGGGACCCCAGTTCTAAAACCATACCTTGAAAGCTGGGTGCAATTGACAGCGTATCTTCCTTTTTCTTCCCTTTTTAGAAAAACCGTTGTCTGTACATGTTTGGCGGGCAAAGGTCGAAAACCTACTTGAACGATTTCTTCAGTTACGACGTGGACAGCGACCACGTGGATATCATTTCGGACGGCACCAAAAAGGACTCGGGGATGGGTGAGGCTGGGATTGGTTTTACTTTCTGGTGTGACTGATACTCCTGTTTTCCTGAAAGTAAGGCCTACCCTGAAAATAAACCCTAGCTTGAGTTTTTTGCGGGGAGGGTGGGCCTAATATAAGTCCTACCCCCCAAAATAAGCCCTAGTTTTGGGGTGAGGCACAGACTTAAAAAGCAAGCTAGGGCAGGGGTGGGGAGGTGGATCTGCCCCATGCGTCCCACACCCACTTATCTTGCAGCCAGGCCTCTCCTCACCGGCCCACTTCTTCTGAGGCCTCTTCTGCAGCCAGGCCTGTGTTTCTCAGTCATTGGGGTTTCCAGTAGGCCTCTGCAGCTGAGAACCAAGCTATGGATTCAGTCCGTGGCTCCATTTTGCAAGAGATCTGCAGCCAAGGACCGAGCTATGGGTTGAATCCATAGCTGGGTACTTGGCTGCTTAGGTCAGGGCTTTTCAATCTTTTCACCCATTGTACCACTTTTAGGATATGGCAACATCCAAGTACCACCAGTCACCTAGCAAGGTATCAAAAACTTGATGACCCCCAAAAAAAGAGGGAAACAAGTGATAAAGTACAGGTAGTCCTTGACTTACAACAGTTCGTTTAGTGACTGTTTGAAGTTACAATGGCACTGAAAAAAGTGCCCCCCAAGGCACAGCCGAGCAAGACACTGCCTGCCCTCCTGTCGGCGCTCTTCCTCCTGTCCGAGGTTTTCATTGTTGTGAGCATTTCTGTTGAGGATTGGCAGCGGGGGTGGGGTGGGGGGGGTGTTTGGTTTTTATTCCCTCCTGTCTGCTGGGTGGTTGCAGCAGGTTTTGGTCCCTTCACATGACCCTGGGGCACTGTGACCGTCATAAATATGAATCGGTTGCCAAGCATCTGAATGTAAATCACAAGACCCTGGAGAGGCTGCAACATTCCAGCTGATCGGCACTTCTTCTGGGCTCAGCAGAAGCACCAGAATCAGCGCCGAGCTCCAGCTGGAGCCCGACGCTGATCCTGCCACTTCCGCTGAGCCCTGACAGCCCTGCAGCTCCAGCCGTCTCTCGCTCAAGCTTGTGCGGTGCTGCTTCCGGTTCAGCTCATTCCCCTCCCCCGCTACCACTTTTCTAGGATGCTCGCGTACCACCTGCCAGTGCCAATGTACCACAGGTGGTACCCGTACCACCGGTTGAAAAGCCCTGGCTTAGCCTTCCAAAAAGGCCTGACTGCAAAATGCAGGCCCGAGTGCAGCTGCAGAACTTTGGCTCCAGAAGAAGTGGACCGGCTGGGTGGGGCTGTTGGTGCCAGAGGTGAGGTAAGGCCTACCCGGAAAATAAGACCTGGTGCTTCTTTTGGAGGCAAAAAAAGATATATTTTTCGGGAAAGACAGGTAGTAGCTTCAGGAGAGCAGTTGTGCTTCCTGTTTGGTTCAGGACATGCAAGGCCATTTGCATGCTTGCCTGACTGATATCAAGACGTATCTCTGACCCTCCTATTTTGAACTCTGCTTATGACTACAAGCGAGGCCAAAATCTATGTTGCTAAGCGAGACGTTTGTTACGTGAGTTTTTTCCCCCCATTTTACCACATCCCTGACACAGTTGTTAAGGGAACCACTGCAGTTCTTACGTTAGTTACATGCTTGTCAATGAGGAAACAAAAGGGGATCAACGTGACCCCCAGGATACTGCAAACCATCATAAATATGAGCCAGTGGCCAAGCTTCTCATCTTTGATCACATCACCATGTGGGGATGCTTGCAACAGGCTTAAATGTGGAAAATGGTCATAAGTCACTTTTTCCCCCCAGTGATGTTGTAACTTTGAATGGTCACTGAATGAACTGTTGTAAGTTGAGGACTACCTGTACCACCTCAGCAATCGACAATCCTGAATAGGATTCGCAGCTCACACAATGTCTGCCGAGACTCTCTGTATAAATGGGGCTTAGTATCCTCCCTTCAGGGTGATTGCATTATCCCTTGTCAAACTGGCCTGTAAGCTTACTGGATTGGTGTGTGTGTGTATAAACGATGCTGTGCTTCAATGGTTAGATGGCTTAGACCAGGGATAGGCAACCTTGGTTCTTTTATAACTGGTGGACTTCAATCCCAGAATTCCTGAGCCAGCCATGCTGAGGGGAAAGGGAGAGGTTCCATGCTTACCCATGCTGGCTCAGGAATTCTGGGAGTTGAAGTCCCCGAGTCATAAAAGAGCCAAGGTTGCCTACCCCTGTCCTAAGTCCTCCTGTTCTAAGCGGTGAGCCTCCTAGACCAGGGGTAGGCAATCTTGGCTCTTTTATGACTGGTGGACTTCAACTCCCAGAATTCCTGAGCCAGCCATGCTGAGGGGAAAGGGAGAGGTTTCCATGCTGAGCCATACTGGCTCGGGAATTCTGGGAGTTGAAGTCCACGAGTCATGAAGGGGCCAAGGTTGCCTAGGAGGGTCACAGGAGAACTTAGGACAGGGGTAGGCAGCCTTGGCTCTTTTGTGACTTGTGGACTTCAACTCCCAGAATTCCTGAGCCAGCATGGCTCAGCTTGGAAACCTCTCCCTTTCCCCGAGTCATAAAAGAGCCAAGGTTGCCTACCCGTGGCCTACACATTAGCATTTGGTCATTGATCTTTTTAACATTTATATTTTATTGTGTTTACTATTCTGGATGAAATGTGTTTGTGTGTGTGTGTGTGTGTGTGTGTGTGTGTGTGTGTGGAGAGAGAGAGAGAGAGAGAGACAGACAGACAGACAGACAGAGGTAGAGGTAGAGGTAGATATATAGATATTGCTATTCCACATATGATATGCCGTAGGCCAGGGGTAGGCAACCTTGGCTCTTTTATGACTCATGGACTTCAACTCCCAGAATTCCTGAGCCAGCCATACTGAGGGAAAAAGGAGAGGTTTCCAAGCTGAGCCATGCTGGCTCAGGAATTCTGGGAGTTGAAGTCCACGAGTCATAAAAGAGCCAAGGTTGCCTACCCCTGCCGTAGGCTAAATAAATAAATCTGAACTGCAGCAACTTTAAGATGGGGTGGCTGGCTGGGGAATTCTGGGAGTTGAAGTCCACCCATCTTAAAGTTGCTAAGGTTCAAAAGTTTCCGAGGTTCAAAAAACCCCCACTGTCCTAATGCTTTATACACCTGTTCACGTTACGTTCCTAGATGTGAATTTCTCCATGTCACTTTCTCTGATGTTTTGTTTATTTACCCTGATATGTTTTGAGTTTATCTTGTGGTTAAGAGTGAGGTTGTGGGTGTGCAGGTGTGCCTTCAAGTCTCCTGGCACCTGCCTGGGCTAATCCCTGCGGTTTTCTTGGCCACATTTTTGGAAGCGTTGTGCCCTGGCCTCTTTCTTATTCCCGGGGCTGAAAGAGAGAGCCTGCCTCATGGTCTCCCAAAGCACGCTTTGTGCCTAAGGCAGGATTAGAACTCGGTGCCTCATAGTTCCGAGCCTGGTACCTTAAAAACGATTATAGTAGCCCTTAGGGAATTAGGGTCATCAATCCCAGCCATCATAAACTGAGGTGTCATGTGTGACCGGATTCTATTTTGGGGCATTTTTATAGAGGTCATTAAGTGAACCCAGGTTGTTAAATGAATCAGTTTTACCCGATGGGCGTATTTTGGCTGGAAACCGGGAAATATTGAAATGGAGTCATCTGTAGCTTTTGGGGGGACCTTCATAAACTTGGAGCAACCGGTGTCAAGTCGAGAAATATTTTATGTTATACCATCCTGGCTCTCTTAAAAGTGTATAGCAGGGGTGGGCAACCAGGGCTGGCTCAGGAATTCTGGAAGTTGAAGTCCACAGATCATAAAGGGGCCTAGTGGCTTACTCCAGCCATGTTGGCTGGCCCAGGAATTCTGGAAGTTGAAGTCCACAGGTCATAAAGGGGCTAGTGGCCTACCCCAGCCATGTTGGCTGGCCCAGGAATTCTGGGAGTTGAAGTCCACAGGTCATAAAGGGGCCTAGTGGCCTACCCCAGCCATGTTGGCTGGCCCAGGAATTCTGGGAGTTGAAGTCCACAGGTCATAAAGGGGCCTAGTGGCCTACCCCAGCCATGTTGGCTGGCCCAGGAATTCTGGGAGTTGAAGTCCACAGGTCATAAAGGGGCCTAGTGGCCTACCCCAGGCGTATAGCAATCTTTTGAAATAGGACAGATTTTTTTTTTTTTTTTTTTTTAAAAACAGCCTTGTTTTGATAAAAGGAATCCTGACTCTCAGGTCCATTAAAAAGAAATGTCGCAGCAGCTTTGTTTGTGTTGTTCTAGCGGTTCCAGCTGTGCTTTGGAACGGGCTGTTTTTGTTTTTGGAAAGTGAAGCCTCCAAAATCTACACGATAAATTTTGACAGAGCAGAAACATCTGCTACCTAAAATTGAGAAGAGCCACTGGAATGCTGTTCGCGTTGTTGTTGTTGGTTGAAACTTGTTGAAACTTGGGCAAGCGTTCCTAGTTTCCCTTACATAGTTTAAATAAAATCAGGTATTTATCGTCTAGTGCAGGGGTCTTCAAACTTGGCCCCTTCATGACTCGTGGACTTCAACTTCCAGAATTCCTCAGCCAGCATGGGGGAACTATGGCCCCCTCATGACTTGTGGACTTCAACTCCCAGAATTCCTGAGCCAGCATGAGGGAACTGTGGCCCCCTCATGACTTGTGGACTTCAACTCCCAGAATTCCTCAGCCAGCATGGGGGAACTATGGCCCTTTTATGACTTGCAGACTTCAACTCCCAGAATTCCTCAGCCAGCATGAGGGAACTGTGGCCCCCTCATGACTTGTGGACTTCAACTCCCAGAATTCCTCAGCCAGCATGGGGGAACTATGGCCCCTTTATGACTAGTCTAGTCTAATCCAGTCTGGTTCAGTCCAGTCCAGTCCAGTCAGTCCAGTCATCTGAAGGCTCCTAATTTGGGGTAACTAAGTTTTTTTCTGAATGAAGAGGCTGCAGCTACGTAACCTTTAAAGCTAAATGCTTGTTTGCTTCCATAGTGGCCACCTGCGATGAGTTCATTTC